AATTTCCATCGATTTGCTCCTCCGATCTGCTCGAGTGTCGCCGTGGCGAATTGGGCACAGAATCCGAGCGTGAGTGCTGGTGTCTTCCTATTCCCATTTCCATTCCGATTCCCATTCCGATTCCCATTGCCAATCCAAGTGGCCAGTAACCAGTGGTCGCTGGTCGCTCCATGGCCATTGAGTCTCGGCCCCCTCTGCGGTGTAAATTGTGACAGTGACCCAAATAAAATTGCGGCGACGAGCGACCAAAAAGACCGGTAAGCTAACAGTGAATGTGCAAGTGCCACCAGGCTGTCTGTCTGCCTCCACTCGCACACACAACAGCAACTGCGACTGCGACTAGAGTGCTGGCCACAGGTGTAGGTTTGAATTTTACGCATGCAATTCTAATGGAAACCGTAATTTTCTTCTGGCCAAACCAGAAATAATTCAAGACAACCCACGTCAGAGATGAGCGGGTTACAACTTGGTATTTGTATATCAAGTCTACCTTCCTTAATATATATCTTTACCTCCTGCAAAAGTCATATAAATAATATAGACAGTTAGAAGTGTCGGTATTATATACATAACAAATAATTTTTGTTTTAAGAATGCCACAATCGCACCAATTTTACTAAGAACTTTTTACTAGCAAAGTGATTTATAAAATGGTTAAGTATATTTTAAAAATAATTGTAACAAAACTAAACAAATCAAGTAGTCTTCTGATTGGGCAGTCTATCTTTAAAGAGAGTGTAATTTTTAGTGCCCCATTAAATTAACTAAAGTAAAATAAATGACTAGACATAACTTCTAACAGGCATGTAACTTTAATGATTTTGCGGTTTGATGTTGGTTGATGTTACAAGCAGAACATTTTGTTTGTCGAGCCAAGTGGTTAAGTGTGGTCAGTTTAGAAACCACAAGACCATAAATATTTATCACTGTATAAGTTATCTCTGTGAATAATAAATACTCAAGCAATTTGTTAGTGGCATAACTTTGCCACTACTTCTCACGTGGGCAGCTCTGTTGGCTCGCTTTTTCTGCCCGTAATAAGAAAGGTAATCACACGGTGTCAACCACGAGTCCAGCTCACCTCAGTGGAGTCCGACTCACCTGGAACAGGTTCTGGTGGTAGTAGCTCCACAGCGTTTTGCAAGAAGAGTCTCTTTTCTGGGTGGTAGCCCGGCTTGGATCTTTTGGCCACCGCTTAAAGGCGGTTCCATTTGCACTGTTACATGTGTGCACGACTTTGAATTGTTTTCATTACCATTATTATTCTTTCGGTGGTCACTTTTTGCCAGGTCATGACGCTCTGGGTCTCTGATTGTTCAGCCGAACAATGGCTGGCCGGGAAACATTCAATTTGGTGAAAACTCTGCACAATGGGAAATTTATTGAACGCCGGTGCGGTTGACAAAAGATTTGCGGCGGACATAAATCAAAATGAAAACGTTTTGCCAACCAATTTGCCGAAAAATCATATCAAATGCGATGAGCTGTTGTAAAAAAGCGGTGTGAACGAGCAGTGAAAGTTGCTTGGCCGCAATAAATGACATCATTTTTGGCAACAGCCTCGATTCCGATTCCGAATCCAAGCCATCATCGATATCCAAAAGCAATGAGCATACAGTGTCTGCAAAAACCATCGCAGAATCTCAAAGCGTTTTTTTTTTGGATGCACGAAGATCGGAGGTAAATTTTAATGCGTTTTGTTGATTTCCATGCGAAAACCGCGGCCACGAAGAATGTTTTTTGTCATGCAGCGGAAGCCAGGGCAGAGCGGAGAATTTCACTTTCACCGCCAAACATGTCAAAACAAATTCGAAGTTTGCCGAGTATTTCCTGTTAGACGAGCGCATCAAATAACACGGCTCTCTCGCTTCGGGGCGGTGTTGACAGCCCGATAATTTGTAACTGCGCGGCATCGATATGAGGCAGTGGCACTTGGAACCGCCGATGAGCTTGAAAGATAAGCCAACCGACAACAAATGCGTGTGAGTACCGCGACAGCCATTCCAATTGACTAGCTACTGTTCCAACTTCATTCACATGCTCCAAACAGTGGGAATTCAGTAACTCGAACTCAGGTATTTAATGGGTTTTCTTTTACGGTAGAATCGAACTAATTGGGAACATTAAGTCCATCAAATGTAAAACATAAAAGCGCTGTTGCTTTTCAAAATTTATAATCAACCGTAAACTTCAAGTTAAAAAAAATATTAGCCACAAACTTATACCATTTACAGAAATCAATATCTATATAAACAGAAAATTTAAAAAAAAATCTAAGTTAATTTTAAAATATCTGTCTCAACACATCTTAAATCTAAAATAGTTCAAAGTGGTTCGTAGTCTTTATAACTGATATTTAATTTTGTAATTTCTAGAGGTGTGTGGAAGTTAATCAAGTTCTACTGTAGTTTCACCCAAGTAATCTGTGATAGGAAGTGCAATCCATACTTGGTCGAGGTGAAATGCTCTCCCGGCACTCGATGTTCAAGATCTGTCACAGTTTTAATGCGATTGCGTTAAGTTTATGAAGTGTAAAATGGCTGTGGGAAAATGGTTTCAGCCAGCCCTCTCCAGCCCAGAAGAAAGTCAAATGTCGCTTTCACATTAATTGCATGTGGAATGGGGGGATTCGGATTCGGAAGACGAAAAATATGTGGAGTTATGGAATTCGTAATTTGCATAAACCGAGAATTTTACACCGAGTGAGTGTGCCCATAACGGGACGACAATTAGCCAAACGAGCAGAAAAGAGTTATGAATTGATTTTTAAGTAGCCAAGTTGGCAGCAGCCGAGACTCGGCCGAGAGCGATTGAGATGCCGAGATCTATGTGGAGCAACAATTGACCAAGTCGATGATCGGGCAGCGGTAAAAACGTGATCTTGAAATTACATCGCTGTCGAACATCGAACGCTGGCAGCCACCAGCAACCAGCAACCAGCAGCCAACAGGGGTTTTAGCTCCAAGTCGAAGTCAGCTTCCTTCCCGCAGGCCGAGTCTCAAATTACCGCAAAGTCAACTGCAGGCAACGTCGACAAGTGCAGCGGCGGTCTTGGCCATGGCTAAAACCACGACTGACAGCGACAGAAAGCCGCAAACTGGCACACGCTTCCATCAGAATCAGTGTGTGGTTGTTGTTGCCTTTTAGTTGTTGGTTGTTGGCTACTGGCCAAGACATTTTCATTTCGCACGCGTTTTTCCTGAACTGCTTTCCTGCTTTTCTTTCTGTTCAAACAACACTTGAATAGAAATTGAAAATTGTTTTACGTGTTTTATACTAATGATCAGGTGTGTATGTGGCCGATGATTGGCATTTGCCGACTTCCACCTCACTGACGCAGCACAGTTCTGCGTTCGCTGGCGAGCGGAAGTATTGATTTTCTCTTCTTGGGTTTTCCTGGGTTTTCCCAAACCTTTCGGAAGGGGCAAGCCAAGTTGGGGAACAAAGGGCATCGTTGGGAAAAGCACCTCAAAGAGAAGCGATTGCATCCCAAGAAGTCTTAATGATTGTGGGACTTTAGCTTGGCAAACAAAAGGTTTTGCTTACTTTAAATGTTGCACAAGAATGCATTAGACTTTTAAATGCCAGAAATACTTTTATTTGAAGATCGTAACAGTTTAAATTTACAAGTATTTAAAGATAACTTTCTCATTTTGGTTAAATGTTTTCTGTGGTTAAAGTAAAGAATAATTTATAATTTTGTTTAATAATTATTTGTATGAAACTTGAAACATTTTTCAGAGTTTTAATTATAGCTGCATTTCATAGGAAATAGACACATTAACTAATTAACATTAACATTTGATTCATCTTGGTGCATCTTGTTTTCAAGGGTACGACAATCTTCGATGACTCCTCTTACTTTCTTGTAAAGTTGTTTACAATAGGATTCACTTAAGGACTTTTAAGGGCTGCAGGTGGTTTTTGCAGCGTAAGCTGTACAAATAAAAGATTCGATCTCCAAAGAGAAGTATTGATTGCATAGGTCTATAACTTTATAGTCATAAAGGTTCTCTTAAGGGCCATAATATCTTAACAACGTACTGATGAGTGTTTTCACCAATTTAATGATGTTAAAAAACTGAAAACGGTGTGTGAAATTTCACGTATCAAAGAAGCTTGACTCTATTTTTTTTTGGTGTTAGAAATGGTACGATTATCACAAACAGTTTGTTTTCCCCCAGTTGATTGTGTCTGGCTTTTTATTGAGTTTGCACCTCGAGTCTTTTGTTGGCCGGCACTTGGGCTCAATCTGAATAGAATGGGCTCACGTTGGTGCCAACTCGAACTAATAACCAGGGACTCTGGAAATTTGTTTCACTTTTTGAATCGGCCAAACGACCTCGACAATTAACGGAAATGGGAAATGGGATGCTGAAAGCCAGCCGGCACTAACCACTCGTAAAATCGTAAAATTGTAAAAACTGTCACAAGGAAAGTCGACGTCTGTGTCGAACATCTCGAGGTCTTTTGTGGCTGCTTTGTGGCCGTAATGTAGCATAAAACGAACCAAATAATTGCCAAGTGCGTGGAGTGTGGAAAGTCATTCGAAGAGCACCAGCTACAGATACAGATACAGATACACTCACAGATACAGCTAAAGCTTCAGCTACAGATACAGATACAGGCAGAGTCGCAGTTTTCTGTGCCAAAGTTTTTCTGATTCATTTATTGACACAAAGGCATAGTTGTGTTTTATGTTTTGCCATGCGCATTGTCAACTTGGCCGGGCCAAGAGACACTGAGTGAAAGCCTTTGGGGAAAGGGGAAGGGGAGGGGGAGGGGCGGCTAAGTGAGCCAAAGTGAGGCAGCAAAAGCCAGTGACACGATTCGATTCGATTTGCAGCGACATGAGCTTGCAATTTGGCAAATTGATTTTCTTTGCCATAATTCTAGATTTTATTGTGTGCTAAACTTTCTTCTCGCGCCGCCGCGTCGGCCTTTCATCGACAATCGATTCGGTTGGGGCAAGTCAATGAGCTAAATGGTTTGTCACTTACCGCCATTCGTTTCAATTGATCTAAATCCACTTGTCGTCGGCACAAATGATGCGACTATTATTATTAAACTTGTTAAAGCGATGGAAAGTAGTTGTGGTCTCGTCGTTCTTCTCCTTGTTGTTGTCGCTGCTGTTCTCGTTGTCGCTGCCTCGGTGGTTGTTGTGCAGCGGGACAACGTCGCCGTTGAGGCCGGCGTAACCCACTTAAACATGTTTGCTGCTGGCCGGACACTTGCGGTGAGTTCTTGGCCTAGACCGTCTGGCAGCGTTTTGGTTTCGTGGAGCTGGCTAGCTGCGATATTCGCCCAGCGTGTTTCGAAATGGCCAACGAAACAACAAGAATCGGGCTGCTCGGTGCGATGCGAAAAACAATGTTGTAACTGCGCGCGCTAAACGAAAGACTTAGGCGACGAACGCGAATGGGAATGGGAAGTTGTAACTGTGGATCCGATGCCCGATTTCAATTCGATTTAATTGCGGCGAGCGCACTTTCTTTGGTCAGCTGCGAATTTACAGTTGCTCGCACCAAAACACTAACACACTGCACCACATATAGTATCTGGCTATCGATATCTTGTATCTGGTAACTTGTATCTTGTATCTTGTATATTGTATCAGCGACCACGCGTCCGGTCGACTGAACGCTCCGCGTGTGTCTGACTGTCTGATTGCAAGTTGGCCCGAACAGCGGCCAAGATAACGGACCTTCGCCACTTTTGTGGGGAAAACTTTCACTTTAACGCGGGAGAGCGCGTTCGGGAGAGCGAGCCGCGAGCCACGAGCGGTACGTGAGAGTATTCCTATTAGGCGTCGCTTAAATGGTAAACATTTCTAATTCGGCACTCGGCGCCTGCTCGGCTTCTTCTTCAGCCGCTTCTGTTGCTTTTAGCCACCGATCTGCGATCTCCTAACTCCGATTCCTGTTTTCGCCGCCTGCTTTCTTTCGCCTGCTCTCTCTCTCTCTCTCTCTCCTTCTCTTTCTCACTCTTGCTCTTTTGCGTCCGTACGCGTGCGCGCCTGAAACCCAACTGAATCGGTTTACAGCGCGGCCTTGCGGTTAAGAGCGATCGCGATCGCGGTCTCAACTTAACAGTGCCGCTCGCTGTTGCCGGGATGCTTCCACCGAAGTAGAAGCTGAAGAAGAAGAAGAAGAAGAGGAAGATCACTGTCACCCGAAGAAGAAGAAAGCTGCTGCGATCCAGGTGACCGATATGCGGTACTTATCCAGATTGACCACTTCATTTGCTCAACCTATATGGCTTACATTAAAGAACTCACTTTAATGCTTTTAAACAGAAAGCCATTAGGTCTCAGTAAGGGAAGTACATTATTCCGTTCGAGGAAGTATTTATTTAGAAGCATTACCCCTTTAACCTACAAATGTTTTTTTCCACATTAATAATATTGAAAACTTTCCCTCGATGTAATTTTATTTTTAATTGAAGAAATAAATGAATATAAAGTGCAAGTTTCCTAGTTTGACATATAGTCAGTTAAACTGATTATAATCATATGGTGGCCAGGACTCTCATTCTTAACTAAATTCAATTTGGTTAATAATCTATAATAAAAGTGCCATTCAACAACTTATTTTTCCCCACTCATTATTTTTCCCTAACTCACCCAAGTGCCAACTAAATAATAATGGGGGATTGTCAGCAAACCATTTTCTTCTCACAGTAAATTTAAGCTTAACAATGCTAGTTCATTCAGATCTTGGAAAACTGTCTATAATATTTATAGTCTATTTTTTTGTAGATGGGCTTTCCTTTAAAGTGTTTCCTATACCTATATAAATGAACAGTGCTCTGTAGGTCAAGACAAGCCCCTTTCCAAAGAATGCAAAGTTAAACGGAAATTAAAACCCTTACTATGTATGTTCCTATATCTTTACTCGTGAGGTATCGTATATTACCTACTCTTCGGAATTTTCAGTTTTAAAAGTGCGAATTTTTTGTAAAGTTACATGTTCACTAAATTGCCTGCGTACGTTGCGGGTCGCGAAAGGTTGTTCCTCCCGCGAGCCTGGCAATTAGTGTCGAGCAAAAGACCGGCAAAAGTTGGCGACTAATAACGGTTATCTCGCTCTCGGTTATCTGGCTATCTGGCTATCTGGTTACCTGGCCATGTGGCCACTTGCAGCGAGGAGGCGCAACCTGTCGATTGGCATTTCCTTGACCCAAATTTCACTGCGCGCACATGGAACGCGACGCGGCTGAAAAATCTGGCGGCGTTTTGTTAGCGGTTTGTTATTGTTTGGCTTTCTTGGCTGGGCTTGGCCTGGTCTTTGCCTGGTCTTTGCCTGGTCTTGGCCTGGTCGGCACTCTAATGTCGGGGGTAAACGCCTGACCAGGCTGGCTGACTGGCACTGGTGGCTGCCCAAGCGTGGACGCCACTCCGCTCCGCCATCACGATCTCTTTGTAGAATTTCACTTTCGTTATTGTTGTCGCCGTTTGCCGTTTTTTGTCCGTTTAATGTTTTTCTGTGTATTTTTTCTGTGCATTTCTCGGCTTTATTTTGTTTACGAGTATTTTCTCGTGGTCAGCCCATCGAAATGGAAAACGCAGCGAGAGCCGCGGACTCCGGCTGATTTTGATTTGGGCATGCCGGTCACGTGGGTGTCAGTGGAGTAGCGATGGCCTAAGCCCGGCCAGAACCAGTTGGGATTGGAGCTGATGGCTTTCTCATTGAGTTGTCGCGCAGAGCTGCGTCTTCCCATGATTCATTTGATGCGGTATTACGACACCAGGGCCGCGAATGCGGCGAATTATGAACGATTTTAAATGATTTTAGCATAATCAACGGTATGGTGTCTAAGACAAAGACCCTGCGGACCGTCGACTTTCTCTCCATTGGCCAGTCGCCCCTCGGACAATGGAGCTCGCCCAAGAAGGTGCCAAAACAAAGCAAAAACAAAACCCCCAATCCCAAAACCAAACCCAAAGCGAACTTTTAACAAATGGCAACGGGTTGAACGCGAATACAACGATCCGCTCAGCAAACGATGATATATTCGAAGCCATTCTTCGATCGCATCTGCTTAGGATGCCGCCACCAATTTGATCAGATAATCTGGGATTATGTAACCGAAAGATGAAGGTCTGCGAAAACAAGATATATCAGGTGAATGGAGCTCACAAAACTAATGCCAACAGAATGAGATCAACTAAACTTGTTTTTATTTTGCAACCCAATTTTACCCAACTCCAACTACTTTTATTATGCATTTTCATTTGATTGAACAAGATGATTAATTAATAAAAATTAGTTGTAGCATGCAAAACATAAATAACTAGAAGTTTGTTTACTTAAAGTGAGGTAGAGTGAGGTACACCAAACTTAATAATAAACAAACAGGTCGATTTAGTTTTTGAAAAAATGTTAAATAAAATTAGCTTATTCATATATTTTTAAAAATCATAAATTTATGCGCTTCAACTTAAAGATATTTTAATGCAAAATTTCATGGATTGATCATGCTAATTGCAATGGCCACTTGGCTTTCGATTTGCATACAGACATCTCCCAATGATGAGCCGTCAAAATTTCCATTTCACATCTGGCCAAATAACTTGCAGACTAAGCAGAAATATCGACAGGGGGCCGAGCGATCGATGAAAACATCAACATAATGATCGGTGAGTGAGCGACAAGTGTGAGAAATTCAATTTCCAACTCCGACCAAGCCAATTTCAGCGAGTCAAGAAAGTGAAGGTTTGATTTTGGACAACATTACAGGGATGATGCCATGTTGACGCCTACCAAATTGCCAATTCGCCGTGTTCCCCTTGGCTTACAGTTTGTTAACTGCCATTTATTGTGTTTTCAACGGCTCCGATTGAAAACGAAAGCCATCAAGTTCAAACCGCCGGCCTCTTGTGAGTTGGTCAATGGTCTCCCATCAGTCTGGCTGGCTTGGAAGTCGTTGTTGGATTAGGACCCAATTAATCAAAATGAGGCGTCGACATGTGTTTGATTTATGGCCCGCAAATTGAACCGAAAACTTATTTACAACCAAGCTGACTGCGCATCTCGGGCTTTCCATTTCGCAGCTTCAAAGGGACGGAACCCCGGAGTTCAGTAGCCCAGTGGATCGGTATTTGGGGATCTGTGACTAATTGAAAAGGCAATAATTTCACTTTTAGCAAGTTGCGAGCCGTGTTTGCCCACTAAAGCCAAACAAGACAGGGCAGAAAAGAAACTTCGGCATAACAAATGAAAGTGAGTAGCGGCCAACAGCAGCTAGTACAAATGACATACAGCCAATGATTGTTAAGCCAATGTATGACAAGTTGGCTGTGAGCAGGACTACCCCTCGGCAAACAGATCCCCCCTACTGACCAACAACCAGCTCTTGTTTTCTAAAACGACAGCACATCACGCATACGCCACCGTTGACAACTTGCGCTTTCAATTAGCGCGTGTCAATGGCCTCCGAAAAAAGGGTCTCCTCGATCGTGGCGCCCCGGGCGACTCCAGTGGTGGTACACCTATGATTTAATTTCGGTTTCGAGTCGGGCCCGCTCGTGATTAGGGAAATGGGCGAAACTTTTGCCGCAACAAAGGCGATTCAGGCGGAGAGCTTATAGGTTTAGCGAACAGGTCGGTAACATATCACACTATGAAAAATGATTTTTATTATTTGGTTTCCATCACTTTATTGCCTTGGGGTCTTTAAGTTCGGTAACATATAGAAAACGACAAAATTGAATAGCTAAATACTAGTTTGGATTTATAAAAATCATAGACGATGTTCAAATATTACAAAAATGTTTATGTTCAATTGAATAATTTTTATATTCTCGAAAGATAATAATAAATATTATTTATATTACATAAATAATAAATAAAATTAATTTTCCTTTATCAATTTAAGAGAGAGTATTGAGCTGCAAGCTATGTGCTTCTCGAACTATTTGGCACCGGCTTTGTTGGTGGCCAGATTGGCCAGCTTGGGCACCAGGCTAATTGCACTATTATTTCACTTTGATGCCATTTTAATTCAATTCCGTTTGCGCAACGACTTTCGTCTGCATTAGGTGCGTTTTTTGCACATTGTTTGTTTGGCGGCTGTCCATAAAAATGTGGCACCTTTCACAGAATCCATTTGACTTCCGTCACCGCTTTTTCATCAGTCCGCTGGTGTGTGTTTTCTTTTCTTATTTTTTATTTAGTTATTTATTTGGCTGGAAATCAAGGCTTGACTGTGCGGCATTTAATTGGCGAAAATTAAAAAGGGAAAACATTTTACATCGAAAACGTTTTGTGTGGGCGTCCACCGCGGTTAATGCAATTAATTAGAAAGCGAAACTAAAAAATTCATTTAGATTATGCGAGATGAGTGGCGGTAAAGGGGGAATTCATAATTTTTCTTGATAAATGTTGGCACGAAAACTAGATACATACACACTCTTACAATTGCCTTCACTTTTTTTGATGATGTCCGAAGGGCAAAGGCCAGAAAAAGGTTTACATTTTGGGAAAGGCTCCGTGGCTCCGTGGCTCCGTGGCTCCCTGGTTCGATGGCCTGAGGCCACGGGTAAATGATTTACTTTGACTGCCGGTGAAATGGAGAAGTCTCTCGAAGGCGGGGAAAAGTTTCCCCGCAGCTGACGAGACTTAAAATCGCAATTCTTATGGGGATGCTCGAGCATCCACATTTAGACGTTCGACCGACGCACCTGTGATCCATGGAGCGGCTCCCAAATGAAGATCTATCAGAGCCGGTGGCGGTGTGAAGATGCTGGCTGCATCCGAACACACCGGGACCCATCTATCGATCGATCTATCAAGATGCGAGTTGCGAGTTGCGAGATGCGAGACCAATAATTACCGGATGAGCAGTAATTTCCTACGGGTTTCGTTTCAAATGGGCTGGCAGGGCCCTCAAATTAATGACCGTCTTGAGTTCGGGTCTGGGCGATTTCATTAAGCGATACCAGCGGATTGGAGGAGGTGAGAGATGGCTCTGCTTCTACGGGCTGCCAACACACAGCACAGAACGGTGGCATTTCCCAGCCCCCGCCCCCCAATTGAAGGAAGGGAAAATATTGTCCATGAGTACTTTTCAATTGTTTCCATAGATGGGCCTATAAATCTGGAGAAAGATCTTATATTATTGTAGCACTTGGACTTTCGTTTTTTGTTTGCTGCTTCTCAAGTGGCAGCGACGGCAGTTCCTATAAATCTTTTTGCCCAGAAAAATAAGAAATTTCCATTGTGCCGCTGTGCGCTGGGAAAGTCGTCGTCCGAGTCGTCATTGTGCATTCGGTTCGGGTAAGCAACCAAGTAGTTGGTGGTCATCTCCGGGCCAGAAGCCCCGTGATCTCCGCCTGACACTCGCCCCCTCAATCGTTGTGGTCGTGTGTGTGCGGCTTTTGATGATGCTTGAAGCGTTTTAATTGTGCAACGTTTCTTTAGAAATTAAATGCAAGACTCTTCAGTTACTTCATAGCTTTCGTTTTCCATGGGAATGCTCTGGATTCCGCTCAAGCTGGCTATCTGCTCTTCTGCTCTCTTTTTTTGGCCAATAGCCATAGTAATAACAATCAGAAATTTGGCACCATCTCTTGCGCAAGCTGTGGGAATTTCACTCTGCATTGCGTAAAGACCGCCATAAATAAAGCCATCGAATGTCATAAATCCCCAATTTGTCGACCAATTAATTCAAATGGAGCAGTCTGGCCAAACGGAGATTAAATCGCTCGGGTTTCCACTTTCGCCAGGCGCCTATTACTTTGATTCAGTTAGCTAATCGCAACGGAGGATCAACGCCTGCCAGGTAATCCCCAAATCCGAGGCCCATTACCGCCACGAATCGCATGTGAATGAAAGTTAAAGCCAAGGACCGGCGCTCTGCTCGTGATCGGAGCTGTTGATAATCTCCCGGACGCATGACCCCCGTCCGAGTACGTGATATCCGTACAAATTGTGATAGGCCTCTCGCTGAAGATCTCGACTTGTGGCCACGACATGCACTTGCAACGCACTTGAGCCTCGAACTCTGGCTCCCACACGCCATAAACAATGCGAGGAAGGAGGATGGAGAGGGGAGCCTGGGGAGGAGGAGGGAGGAGGAGGGAGAGGGGGAGCGGCAGGTGGGTCGGCATATGCAAATGACCAGCAATTATCAGCCAGCAAGCGAGAGCGAAAGTTCCACGACGAGCCGGCGAATGCAGGGCATTCATACCGATCCGCGGTCAACAATTGTTTCAACTTTATAGTGTTGGATTGGTAAGGGTTGAGTTGCAGATAGTAGTTTCAATTTTGAATGTTCTGCAAAAACTAAGCTCGTAAAAAGCTTCAACCATATTATTTTTGGCTTTACTGAATAAAAAAAGAACACAGAGATTAAGCATAGATCGCTTTTTTATTAAATCAATAAATAATATAAATAATAAAATAAAATAATAATGTATAAATAATATAACTTATTTTTAATGTTAAAAATAGCTTAAGTGGTTTTCAAACTATAAGTGTAGTACACAATCTTAACTCGTAAATATAAGTTTTTAAGACTTTCGGATGTTACAAATTTACTTTATGTAAAATGTTAGTCATTTTTTAAAGAAAACGGATTTCCCATTTTTTGTTTCTGGCATTTTATATGACCATCTTACATTTTTGCCGGGTTTGCGTGTTAATCACTCTGCGTACATGTTTCGCATATTTAATAACCTTACGTATGCAAAACAAATGTTGGAAATTTTTCTATTTATTGGAGTCGTGTGCCCGACCTCCCGGCGAAGAAAGTTTTAAGTTTGGCATCAGTGGCACCTTCCAAATAATGTTTGAATCGGTGCCCAAGTTCGATGTCGCCTCATGCATTTGGAATTCGAGTGTTGTGTTAGGTTTAGCTTCTTCAGCTTGGGTCTCTTCAATATATTTCGGTTCTGGCGGTGTTGGGGATTCCGCTTTGAGAGCTAGCTCGGCTGGGAACGGTGGACGTGGTTATAGTTATAGTTATCTCTTTAAGAATAAGAACAGGGATATGGATTTCATTTGGATATGGGGGAAGGGGTAAGGGATATAAGATTGTGATTTGGAGGCGGTAAGTTGTGATTCAAAGCTGGCTGAGATGGGGAACTTGGAAAAAAATAATACTCAAATTTAAACAGTGGATCGATCCATCGCATAATCGGATACATGCATTTTTAAAATGGCAGTTGATTCTAGGAATGTACCTGATTTTTCTTTGCCTTATATCTGTTTTTTCCGATTATCAACATTGTCCCTCAGCTATCAATTGGTCCCTAAATCCCATTAGTCCGTAAGCTTCAAAGTTTTAGAGCAGAAACTATATTAAAAGCTGTGTGTTGCTACGTGCAACTTATATAAGTAAGTATGTATTTCGGAATGGCCAGGCAGAATATAATTTCATCATATACCAATTCTAAGAACAATCGGAGCAGTTTGTCAATGCACTGTAGTCAAAAAAATTTCTTATCCAGCTTTCCTGTTTGCACTCATGTTTCGAAACTCTAATTTTTAAATTTCATTCCTCTATTTTGGCGCAGATATGCATTGAATAATATCGATGTTTCGCGAACTTTGATAAATTGCACTACTTGCTAACGCCTTGTAAAAACTGATTCCATTTTTTTTTGTTTTTTGCAAGGACGTGTAGCGGTTCTATGCATTTCTTTAAAGTTCTATGTTTTTAGCAGTGGTTCAAACTACCGCTTAATAAGTATCCAAGTTAGCCACCACACTTTTTAAATATATTTTACCGCCAGATGTCGCTTTAATTACACATACATCTATCTACATACAAGTTCAGTCCCGTAAATAAAAAAATTGGAGTTCCCCGGCTAAAATAGCCGATACTCAATCCATGACATAAAGTGGTGCCTGCACTTGGGCGCAAGCAGCTTACTCTTTTACTCGACTCAAATTATAAAATAAAAATTAACCATGACTTAGTATATCAATGTAGTTTTATTAATACATACAAATAAGATGTCTCATCAACAAAGCCGAAAACGCCTTCGACTAATTTATTTTAAGAAAATTCATTAAAAGTTCATTAAACAAATTTCTTTAATATGAATTTCTTCTAATTATGAGACTCAAATAAGAAAGTATTTGCCAGCAAGTATTTTTATTTGACACACTCGAACGTTCGAAATATCGTAATACTTAAAAAAAAGGTTTATGTTCAGTGGGCTTCTGATATTTTTCCCGCTAAAAGCCAACAGACTGACAAGCAGGCTATTAAGCAGACCTCTTCGTTTGATTTGTTTGCCTTTTTAAGGCATTCAACTAATCATTCGAACCCACTCATTAATAAAAACGCAATGAGATTTGTTTGTTTTAAACATTTTAATTGAATTAATTTTGTCGTGCATGAGCTGCTATAAATAAATAATTACAGTACGTTATAAAATAAAATTACAATAGCTTCTGCCGCATGGTTCGGTTCGGGGAGAAGCGACTTACGTGATAATATGCCCTACCAAAGGACCCGACCGCCGCCGAGTCCCCTTAATTAATATTGTATAGGACTAAAGCTACGTGTAAATGTTATGCAATAATTTAGAAAATTATGTACAGCAAATGGGAATAAATTAGGGTCCAATCGGTTAATACGTTACGAGAGCCGTGACTGCAACAGTGATCTCATCGGGATCACATTCACTAACTAGTTTTAGGGCTAGGCTAGGCAACGTAGGCTAAGAGTAAGATTACGATTATGACAATGGAAGTGCTATCAGTTTCTGGTTCTTCAGTGGTTGCTGTGCGGGCAGGTGGAGGTAAATGGTGGCAACTGGAATCGTTGCTCGGGTTATGGCCGATCTGATCTGATCTGATCCTCCCATCTGATCTGATCTGATCCCTCCATAACCGGAGCACGAGTCCGAGTCTCAGTTGGATTCAGTTTCCGATGCCGTTTTGTGGGGAAGACGTGCTAGGCATTCACTAAGGATCGGGTCGGGACGGGATCTAGAACTGCAGAATCTGGTTGATCCAGTCCCGGAACTCCGAGATGCGGGTGTACACGCCCGGCTGGTTGGCCTCCGCGCAGCCGATGCCCCACGAGATGACGCCGCCCAGCTGGAACCGCTTGTCCGACTCCCTCTGCAGCACCATGGGGCCACCGGAATCACCTGAAAATAAAAAGGGAAATTAAGAACATGCGTACATATAAGAAATGTGTATGCTCGTATTTTATATATATTACTTTAATATTTCTCATAATTTTGTTGTTTATCAGTTACACTATTAATATATATAAATTTCTTTAAAAAATATGATCTACCGGTAATCCTTATATTACTAATACCAACTGATAATCATTCAGTTATTACTTACCTTCACAGGAGTCGTAGCCTCCCTTCTTCCACCCGGCACAAATGAATATGTGCGGTATGTGCTCGATGTAGCCCGCGGATCGGTACATGGACTCGCAGATGGTGTTGTTGATCACGGGCACCGCCACCTCCTGCAGGACACTGGGCAGAGGTCCGTCCTCGTAGAGGCGACCCCATCCCGTAACGAAGGCCGTCTGGCCAATGAAGTTCTCGTCGTTGTCCGGCACGCAAACGGGAATGATGTTCGGCTGGAAAACTACAGGCTCATAGAACCTGATTTGGAACGGAAACGGATGTGGTAAGTAATGCATCAAAGAAATTAAAACTGTTTAAAATGCCCCTTAAATATAATAATATTAATAACTTTTCTGGCACCCATAAAGTGCCTGTTATTTCATTTTCGTATCTGGTATCTTCTTAAGATTTCTTGTACACATGGCACCTAGATTTCTTGAACTAACTAACTACTTAATCTAGACTTAACTCACCTCAGCAGGGCCAGATCGTACTCGAAAGTGCGGGGATCGAATTGCGGATGAGAGGCGACGATTTGGACACGGCGCTCCTGGTAGCCGTAGGGCTCCTCCTCCTCCGCCAGATCGTACTCACCCAGACGCAGCAGAAGATCGGAGGGTGGCACACTGAAACGAGACACTTGTTAGGACCAGAAATCGTTACTATCCATCCTGTACTCACTTGTCCACGCAATGGGCCGCCGTGATCGCCCAGTTCTCGTTGAGCAGAGCGGCTCCGCACTTGTGCAAATAAGTGGAGGTGCGCCACTGTCGCAGGGAAATCTGCCAGGGCCAACGGCCGAAGGCGGCATTAGCTCCTCCGACGATCCGGGGCTCGGGGAACATGCGGCGACCGCAGACTGGAAGAGAGCGAGGAAGGAACAGAGGATGTTCAGAGTGGGATCTTGGCTAATAGGCCTGCGCCAGGTCACAATTAAGGTAATGGGCCCGCCAGGGCCTTAAACATTTTAATCACTCCGCCTGGCACTCAGTCATTTCGGCCCCGAATGTAATGTGCTTTGGCCAAGAGGAAGGCGCAGCAGCCCAGTCCTTGACTTTGGCCAGCCGCGAGGCAGGCAGTCAACGGCCTACTTTATGGCCAGCAACTCGTCTTGGCCGCAGAGCCAAACGAAACCGAGCCTAAACGAACCGAACTGATCCACTCCGCTCCGCTCTTCAGCTCCTCAGCGCGACTCGTTTCGATTCGTGCATCAAGATTGCTTTTGAAGTCGCAAATCGGTCAACAGGCTGACGGGGAAAGGAGTGCGGATTGCAGATCGGTTCTTTTTTTCGGTGGGCTTTAGCTTTGGCTTCGACTTCGACTTCGACTTGGTCTTCGACTTTGGCTTCGGCAGACGACCGGCAACGTGACCCATGCGGCACAATGACCGACGCGATCCCATATACCCGATGCAGTCATTATTGTAAATGATTGCTGTAAAAATTGTTGCGGACTGCGTCTAGCAAAAGTCCAGCTTAGGAGTGTTCTTGCACGGAGAGAAATTTTAGAAACTTGTTGTGTATAAAAGCTTTCTGGCGTGTAACAATGAAAGATTTTCTGTATAATGCTTTCAAAATAATATTTCAAAAAATGTTTGATAAATAATGATTCTGATTATTTGGCTGGAAAGCCTTTAAGAAAGCATAAACAAAACCTCTTTCCTGTTTATATTAAACCCTACAACTGATAATGATCGCAGGTATGGAGAACCCCCGTGACTTGTGCCACACATTTGGCTTCGCTTTCTCCGAGTGTAACCATTTATGAGCTGGCGGAGGACAGCCTCTCGGAAGATGTCTCCGCTTCTTGGCCGTGGTCTTCAGCCCGATGGTGGCTCAAGGCCAGCGTTTAGCCTTCAAATTGAATTTAATGGCCACGCACGTTGGCTTTGTCTTATGGCCAAAGTCGGCGGAGAGGTATTAATAGAATTCTCCCCGCAGGAGAAACCCGTTTGCCTCTTCGCTGCACTCACCTTCCTTGTAATCGACGCCCTCCAATGCATTGGCGGGTGCCACGGTGGTGCTGCCTGTAGCCTCGATGGTCGTTGTGTTCGGCTCTTCGCCGCTATAATCGGTGGTTTCAGCTGTGGTTGTCGGGCTGCTGGTGGTGCTGCTGGGGCTGGTGGGGCTGGTGGGTCTGGTGGTGCTGGAACTGCTGCTGGCTGCCACCTCGCTACTAAGATCCGTGTAAGATGATGTAGATGAGGCTAATTCTATGCTGCTCGCTGGTGCCTCTGTGGTTTTCACTGTGGTTGTCGCTGCAGTGGTTGTTGTCGTCGATGCTGTTGTTGTTGTTGTTGTTGTGGGCTTGGCTGTGCTGGTGGCTTTCGGCGGCTTCGTGGTCTTTTGCGGGACTTGGCTCTCCACCTCACTGACGCTGGTGGCCACCGAGATGACCACTTTGTCGGTGGCACTGGGTGGTGCTGCGAAAGGAGTAAAAGACATGCATTAGTTTCGCCATTACATTACATTGAGAGAATATTCTGCTTAGAAAAATCTGGTGAAGATGCAGTTTTATACTATGCAAAATTTGATTGTCTCTTAATAAAATGCATTTAATCAAAACATACTTAAAAGAAATTTAGTGAACCAATATTTAAAATATTTAAAATATTTAAAATAAAAGTGAATCTACTATACTTATTATTTAGCTGTTTTTGTACAACAAGCAAAGTAATAAAATAGTTTTTGTTCCGTTAGTTAATTTCTCTGAGTGTTGTTGGACTCACCTGTGGTGTCGGAAGTCTTGTTCGCCACCTCTGTTGTTTGGGAGGCCAGTGGGATCCAATCGCTTGAAATGCTGGCATTGGTCGGTGGCTCAGCCTCCACATCTGTCCAGGTGATCAGGCCGGTCTTTTTGGTGGTTGTTGTTAGGGGTGCAAAAGTGGGTGCCTCAGTGGTGACCAGGGGCTTGCGTGTGGTTGTTGTTGTGGTGGTGGTTGTTGTGGGAGCCTTAGTTGTGGTTGTTGTAGCTCTTGTAGTGGTTGTTGTTGGAGCTTTCGTTGTGGTTCTCCGAGTGGGTTTTGGCGTTGTGGTTGTTGTAGTACTTGTTGTTGGTGCCGCAGTGGTGGTTGTTGGCTTCTTTTTGGTTACCAATAAAGTGGTGCTACTTGGTGGTGTCTCGGAGGGACTGCTGCTGCTGGTTGAGTCCGTTGTTACGGTGGTTGTTGTTTGGTCAGCCAGTAGAACGGGCACCTTGACAATTTCCCCAGTGGGTTTTGGCTTGGGTCGCGGAGCTTGGGTGGTGCGCTCCGGCAGTCTTGTTGTGGTGCGGTTCTTCGTCGGCTCGTCCTTGAGTCCGGTGGTTGTTGATGTTGAGCTGGTGGTGCTGCTACTGCTGCTGCTAACACTGCTGGTCGTCTGAATGACTGGCCTGCGGGCTGGCAATGTGGTGCTGGTTGTGGTGCCATTTGCAGTGGTGCTACTACTAGCCAAACTATCCACTGGCTTCCTTGTTGATTGCGACCCACTCACTGTGGTTGTTGTCGCATTCGCTGGCTTTTTCGCTGGCGCTGGCCTCCGACTGGAATGTGGTTTGTGGGGCTTTTGGGTGGTGGTGCGCAGCGGTGGTGTCGGACGTTGGGTGGTTACCGCTGCTTTTGTGCTAGTTGCTGTGGTGGGTGGTGCTGCCGTGGTTGTCGTTGTGCTGATAGTGGTTGTTGTTCTACTGGTTGTCCTGCTGGCCACCGAACTACTTCCAGTTGGCCTTGTGTGCCGCCTGTTGGTGGTTGTCGTCTCCTGCAAGTGGGTGGGTTCCGTCACCGCCGGCGTCGTAGTCTCCACAATTTGGAAAGTCACGAATTTCGTAGGTACCGATGTGGTTTCAATGCGCTGCTCCACCAGAATGGGAGCCGTGGTTAGCACCGGTTTGGCGGTGGTGGTGCGACGTCGCGGTGGTTTAACGGTGGGTGTGAGCGTTGTCGTCTGCACCACATTGGGCTTCAGAGTGGTGCGCACCACAAAGTGCGAGTTCTTGTGGGTGGTGTGGGCCAGCGGTGGGCGACGAGTGGTGGCGAGTGTGCTATTGCCGTTACTGGTGGTGCGAACAGGTGCTGGCTTAGCGGTGCTCAGGTACGACTGAGTGACGTTCTTCAGCAGCTCGTTGGTGGTGTGCTGGTGGGTGGTGCTGCCACTACTACTGCCACCTCCGCTGCTGCTGCTGCCACTGCTGCTGCTGCTCGAGAAGCTGCTCTCGGTGGTTAGCTTGAAGAGGGCGCTGGTGGGCAGCGTGGTGGACTCGTGGGCAAAGTGGGAAATGGTGTTCTGGTCGATGCTGTTGTCGTTGATCTCGGGCGCGAAGAGCGAGGCCTCCTCCTGGGAAAGAGAACCAACAGTTAGGGGATATTGGTACACTGATAGTTGATAATTACCCACCTTCATCGCACAGCACGATCCGAAGTAGAAGCGATCGATGCAGGTGCCCAGGTGCGTGCCATTCTGCTTGATGCAATCGATGGCGAACATGCAGACTCCCGAGCGTCCAGATTTGCGAACGATGCAGGGCAGATGACGGATATTTCGACCAGATTGGACTGTCGATGGCAAGATAATAACAACAGGGAACAATAAGTATAATGCCACCACAGAACAGCAATCATAATTATAATGATAGTAGTGGTGATGGTAATGGGGGGACAAAGCAAATGTGATTCCTATTCTGGTTACAGCGACTCGAATCGACTGCTCTCCACACCATTTCCGTTTGCCGCGGCGATTAACGCCTTCGAATTTGTACGCCAATTTGAGCCAGGCCTTTACCGTTAGGCAAACAGTTAACACAAGTGAAAATGAAGTGGCAACAAACGAAGACGAACACGAACACGAACACAAACACTAACACGAGCACGAACATGAGCCCAGAGCCAAATGAGAACCCATAAAAGCAGCCGGATCGCTGAAGGGCGTCATCATCACTTGGCCAAAACATACTCGTACACACAAGACCGCCCGATGAGGCAACAGTAGCCCATCCGCATTATTGTTATTTATTTATGATTTGTGCTCTTCTGCGGCTGCCGCTTCCCCAAGAACCATCATCATCTCCACCACCATCGCCACCATCATCATCGCGAAGTCATTGTGTAATCGAGCCGAGAATTATCCGAGAGCCCGAGCTTTGAACTTATATAATTACAGGCAGCAGCAGCAGCAGCAGCACGGGGCCAAGAGTTATTAGTGTTTCGGGGCTCTGACAAATCGCGGCCAGGGACGAGGGCCTTTAAAAGCGACCAGAGTCCGCGAAGAAAGCCCAGCTGGCGGTCCTGATTCTCGCCCTCCTTCATAAATTCACTTAACAAGCTTCTCGTGGCATTTCAGGCTTTGCGCTTTAAATACTCGCACATAAATAAGCCACTTTGCCTGATTTTGCTGCTAAAAGTAAGGAAAACAAATCGGACATCGTTTGGCCAGGGCGATGGCTTAAATACCTTTTTAGAAAGCATTACGGAAGGTGAGAACTACGGATATTACTTTCATTGTTGTTTTTAGAAGCTACTAACATTCCAGTTTAAATAAGATAACAAACTATGGTGAAGAGGCTGTAAACAAACTATTCAAAATATAAATAGTAGCCTAATAAAAATGTACAAAAGCATAATATAGCAAATAAAAACTATAGCATTTATACATTTTAAACAAAAAACTGCTTTTAAGCAATATATCATAAATGATAATTACCATAACATTTAAGGCGAACAAAGTTCTTAAAATATTTAACACATTTCAGAAGTATACACGTAAATATTTAAATTCAATGCGATTTCAAGCAAATGTATATATCCGAAACAGTATTTCATTTTGAAATGTTCTTTTAGCTTGATTAGCTTGATTAATTCCTAAAATGTAAATTATTCTCCTTACACATTACAATATATTGCTAGTCATAAACTAGATTTGGAATACAGTTTAAAAAGAAAACGTGCTACATTCTTTGCATATAAAGCAACCCAACGCATTGATATTCCCACCCTTGTAAAGGGTATTGCAATAAATATTGCCAACTGGCTGCTTGGTGTTTTGCGTTTATTGAACTTTAGCCGCAAAGTGTCGCGCATTTAACACGACATTCAGCAGCGAGTTCTCCTGGGCATTTGGGTTTCCATGCCTGAAAGGCGGCCCAAAAACGGATGACTCAAGACACGAACTTGCGGGCAGCAGAGCCGAAAACCGAAGCCAGAACCAAAGTCAATCCATCGAAAAGTGGATTCGGCCAGAGACATTGTCACGTTCCGTAGATCGTGGTTGAGCCGGCAGCGGTTCTGTTTCTGTTTCTGTTTGCATTTCGTTTTGTGGCTTTTTGGGTCAACAGCTTAGCATATGTTTCGCTAGCCACTCGCTTGGCCTACCAAGCAGCCAGAATCGAGGGAACTGAAGCCAAAAGGGGGGGATACAACAGACTGGCCCGCATTGCAATGTAGGAAATTCGTTTTTGGCATGCGAATGCGGCACCACATTTTCGTGGCCCGATTGTGGGTGAGTGGCGCAGCCACAACCGAAGTGGGTCATCATCGCCAGCCAAGAACGGAGTGCCCGGTTCGGTTCGGTTCGGTTCGCCTCACTTCGCTTCAGTTCGATCTCCGGGTTTGTTTGTCTTATTTCCCTTTCACTTGCCATCAAATTTACTTTCCGCTTTCTGCAGCCGCCCGTCTTCCCGTCTTCCCGTCTGCCGATGTCGATGTCGATAGCTATCCATATTATTTATATTTTCTTTGTTGCCGCTGCGGTCCAGTCGTAAACATGAAATGCTCGCCGGCACACGCTTTCTTGCCCAGAGTCCAAGTCCGAGTACGAGTATTCGAGTATGCGAGTATGATTCCGATTCCAATTCCGATTCCCGGTCCAAGGCGGACTGGCCCGACTCTCGGCGGCGGTTGCTTATTTTATGGCAACATTCTTTGATGGCTGACCTCAATTGCTTTTGCCCGCTGACGTTCGCCACTTTGGCTCTGTGGCTCTGCGGCTCTTTGGCTTGCTGGCTTGCTGGCCAGCCCCGGTTTATATGAAAGTTTCGTAGTTTTATTTTCATCTCCGCTCAAAGGCTGCGCTTTGTTGTCGTCCGGCAGACAAATTGGCAGCTGCGCGGTGCCGAAGAGGAAGTGCTAATAGCGTATAAATTTGATTCTTAATGGCTGTGACCCAATTAATCTTCGTTCCCGGCAACGCCTGTCTCTATTGTCATTAATTTTGATTACTTTCATTAGAAATGCCCTCACTCTGTTGCTCTTTTGCTCTTTCTGTTTCTGTTCCCGATTTGGTCTCGCAGCGTACAAGTTCGTCGCTTAAGTCTTTTGTTTCTGCTGTTGAGTTCGGGTCTTTTTGGCAATAAAGTTTGTTTGCCGGCAGCTGCTGTCATCGCGATATGGTTCTCTAACTGAAAATTTAACTTTTACTATACTTTTCTAATCGTAAAGTTAAGCGTTTCAGAAGTTAATCCTCTTTTTTAATGTCCATATGGACACATCTATAGAAGGTTTACCAATTTACAGTTTTGTCATATATTTTTTAAATATGGTTGATTAAAACACAATTAAACCATTTTGATTATCATTTGAAAAATAATAAAGTCATTTAGAATGATTAAAATCCAGGTTGGCCTTAGTTAATTAATTACTATTATTCGCCTTTTCATACAAAAGTATTACAGAATAGTTAAGAAATTTTTTGTTGTATTCACTAAGCAAATATGTTTCGGATGTACACATTTCTCTTGCATTTAAAACCAAAAAGTTTGTATTTTTCTTATTTTTTAAGATGGCATCAACCTTTTTCATTATGTTAAAACATTTTGTAATTTATTTGGGTTATCCAGCTCGCTTCTTGGCGCACTTATTTCATCTTGCGGAACGTGCTTATTATATTTTCTTAAGTTTCTTTCAGCTTCTGGTCGAAGGTGTGGCTACTTGGGATCTGGGTTTAGCTCCATTGTAATCACTTCGGATGCTCCCCGAAAAAAAAGTTTAATTGTCTACGTGAGAGAAAGTGCTGGGGTTCTTGGGAAACAAAGTGGAGGAAGAAAGGCCCAGCTGGGATCGGTATCTGAATCTGCAGCCGAATCTCCTTTCCCGCTGAGTAATTCCGGCTAAGTGAGAGCTTGACACGCATTATCTCGATGGTTCCGATGATTCAATTAGGGAGAGTGAGAGTGGGGATACAGGGAATGGGGTATATGGTATAGAGTGTGGGGCTTACTACTTACACTGAGCTAAGCTGGGATTATCCACGAAGACGGGACTGGCGTCTATCGTCAGGAGGAGCAGACTGCCCAGTGTGAGGAGGCTGAGGAGGAGGCTGGGGCGTGGCATCTTGGCTGGGGATATCGCAAATGCTCTGCTCTTCTCGGCGTTGAGATCCCTGGCTGCTATTAACGAGTAGGTGTCTGTATCCGTGTGTTGTGCACCCATCTGCAAGAGAGCACAAACGCTGGTGAGTCATGTGAAATGTGAAACGCGTTTACGACCCCCCCTATTCAAATTGATCGCTAAACCTATCCATATTTTTTATTTTTGGGCTTGGCCCACCAACAACAAAAGTAAAATGGGGAAGCAAATAAAGAAGCGGGCGAATCGGAGGAAGCAACAAGTGCGTAGAAGCAATCCAATCCACAATCCACTGCCGCTGAGTCAAGTAGGTGAAAGTCTGTCTCCGGTGACTTGCATATGCAAAAACGGGGGAAAAACGAAACAAAATACAGAAACAGAAACAGAAACCAAAATTGCCGAGGCAAACGGGGCGTATGTGTAATATGCCGGACTGCTGGTTTAGTCATGCCTAAAATGCTCCGAGTGAAAAGCAAAAGTGTGTGTGTGCATAGAAAGCGGGAATCGCTTAGCTGATTGTATAATCTGTCCCACGTTTATATAACCGTACGGAAATCCATTTGACCGCGGCTTCCCACTTCCAAATCCATTTCCCAGACCCAGACCCAGACCAAATGCCAACTGGTTCTCATCGACTTCAGCTTTAGTCTCAGGTTCAACACACGCCTAATTGAGCCGCAGTTCGATCCGGCAAAGAAAGTTCATCGCTGGCGCATTGGAAAATGTACAGAAATGATGACATAAACCGGAGCAATCAAAGAAAGCGAACCAATAACTGGCGACGATGATGAGTGATGATGAGTTGGCTGGCGATAACTGGACCTGCTCCGGGATCCGATGACAGGGCGCTATGCTGAAGTCCATATGTCTACATGTCTTTATGTCTATTGGTATATCGCATACTTATGCCCATGCCCGGAGGCATCTTGCGGTGACAACACATCCCATTGATCGACCATTCTGTTCTTTTAGCTCCGTTCAGTTCGGTTCTGTTCTGTTCTGTTCTGTTTGGTCTGGTCTTTTTCTTTCAGTCACGATTCTGCAGCGTTGAGAAATTAGCTGCGTTCGCAGGGGGAAAAAGGGGAGAAGAGGGGTGGAGGGGGAAACTCTCATTGTTAGCGGCTGTTCTGTGAGTTGCGTAATACGGTCGTTGAACCTGGCTCAGAGGAACTTGGACCGCAGCTCAGCAAGTAGCTTTAATTAAGCCCGAATGCTAAATCCCTATCGAGAGTTCCCCATCGAGAACGGAAGCCATAAAACATACAATATGCAGCCGGATTGCCGGATTGCCTCAATTAGACAAATACTCAAATCAAACAATTCACTACGCGCCGATCTCAAGTCCAGTTTTGTATAGTAGTACGATTGTTTGGCTTTTCGCAGCCTCAAAAATGTTGGCCAGCTATTTGTGTATTTGGGTCACGTTCAGGCCATATCGGTATGCGTATCTGTATAATTGTGTTGGCGTTGGCTCTGTGTGCAAATTAACATGAATTTCTGAGCGATAACCAGAATGCCTGGCAAGAGCGAGTTGTGGCCGGGGATTGGGGATCTGGGATCTGGGTCAGAAGCGTCAGAAGCGTCGGATGATTTGCATGATTTTCATCCGATCGCCATCGAATCGCCGGGGCTGTCCCCTAAAATCCAGCTCCACCTCGAAACTCCATTTCGCTTAATGGGCAATTAAGTAATTTCCATTTGCGACCCGATACAAGTGACAATTCCGTTTGCTCGTTAAAAGTGAAATTACAATTTGTTTTGTTTGTTATTAAAAATACATTTTGCAGGCGAGCTTGCTCTGCGTAAAAGCGAAAGCCAACGAATTTCTTTCTGGCTCTTTTTAGTATTTACTTAAAAGAAAAGTGAAATGGCAGCAGTGCCAGCAGCTTGTAATTTCAAATGGTGAACAAAAGAATTATGCCATTTGCCGCGGAACGGCTAGGTCGTCAAAAGAAAACCACATACACTTCGACTTCGACTTCGACTTCGACTTCGACTTCGTTTCTAGTGTAATCAAATAAGAAGTGCATCTCGCATGGCGCTGCTTTCATTTCTGCTTACCAAAAACGGAGCTCGGAGAAATTTTGTTTGTATGTCTCTGCTTAGTTTTTTCTTGTTTTTTTTTTTCTGTTTTTTTTGGTATTGTGTCCACTCAGCTGCGGGCTGCCATGGCTCAGCGGTTCGGTATCTCTGGGCTACCTATTCCCAACTGGCAGCCAAAGTTCATTAGTTGAGACCAACATCGAAAGACTCAGGGCACAAACTTGATGGGCAGGCGTGCGCATCGCCTGTCACTGAGGGCCGATCCAAGCTAATTGTTTCGGCAGCCGCAGTTGCCTCAGTTCCCAATGCAACCATCAACGGCAATTTCTCAATTGCAAATGCCGAATGCAAATTACAATAATTACGAGGCAGCATTTTATGCTACCCTACGCAGCCCCATCCTCTTATCCTATCTCATCCTATCAGCCCGTCATCATCATCATCATCATCATCTTTGCGTGGCAGGAGATCTTCCCCGGCAAACCTGTATAAACCAGAGCGGACTGGGAACGTGAAATGCAAATAACGCAACACAGGCATCCTACTGCCTGCCAGATCATCTGTGGCCGCAAGACAAACGTGCCTCTTCCCCCCATTTTCCCCGCCTCTCTCGCCCTCCCATGGAGAGTGCGTTTTAGACCAAAGACAAGCGGACTGGCAGGCCGCCAACAATAAGGAAGAGTCGTGTGTGGTTGTTGATCAGAGTCGACCTAGTGTTACTCACTTTAAAACACTTAATGTCAACCAATTTAGGTTAATATTGGAGAGATTAATCTTATGAGTGTTTCCGTTGCTGATTCATCTCATTGACTAACAAATGCAGCACGATTGATGACTCAGAAAGGGTATTCCACTGGCTGCTTAATACAACATGCATAAATCTTGGAATCAATAGGTCAGACTTGCGAGACAAATATTTTAAGTTAAATTTTGATAAGATCATTAAAACCAAAGGTTTGTAATGTTTCAATTTTTTCAAACGTTGAAGAACATACGTATTTTCAATGCTTGGTGGTCTGGCAAGAAAAAGAAATAGTTGAAATAATAACCACTTAAGATTATTTTACTTCATCTCTTTTGTATGAATATTTTGATCTACTATTTAAGTCCACTCTCCAAAAACTATTTCTTTGAAAGAAGATAGTAAACTTTAAGTAGTCTTAAAACAGAGATTAACGTTAAACAGTTGAAGCCTAACTCAGATGGCATTTTCCTAAAAGGTATTGCTAGATCACATTGACAATTTATAGCCATCCTCAGATTAGATATTTTCCTCAACGAAATTATTAACTCTTTAAATATGTTTTTAATTTAGTTTAACAGTTTTCAACTGTTAATAATAATCCCCTTGTAGGAGACTATCTGTCGAAATAACCCTGCACACCCTCGACTGGGCATTGGCATAACCACTATCAGACCAGTTCTTTAAACCGAAAAGCAAAAATCGTTTGCCGAGGGGCAGAGCAGAGCAGGCTGAGAGGCAGGAGCGTTTCCAGGGGAAGCTGGGGAAGGCGCTCTGCCTTCTGCTTTGGCTCTTTCCTTTTCTCCGCGGAGTCTGAGCCAGAATCAGATTCAGAATCAGAATCAGAATCAGAATGAGAATCAGAAGCAGTCGGCAGTCGCAGCGCAATTGAAACACTTGTACTAAGCGGCTGCTGTTGCTGTTTGCTGTTGGCTGTTGGCTGTTGGCTGTTGCCAACTCTCGTGGCAAGAAGCCTTGGCTTTGGCTTTGGCTTCGGCTCGCCTGCACTTGCAGGAATTTCAATAAATTTGCAGCAGGAGCAGAGCGACTTTTGCTTTGGACTCGTTTTCGAGCTTTGGCCGTGTTTGCGGCGCTTGAACTTGTTGCTCTTGTTTTGTGGCCTCTGTTAGTTGCAGTTAGTTGCAGTTATGCGCATCTATCGGATGCATCTGTATACGTATCTGCATCTGTATCTGGATCTGAGCTTGTATCTGTATCTGCATTTGTATCTGTATGTCTGTTTCTGTTTCTGTTTGTGTTTTTTTGTGGCCATAGTGAGTTGGCGCTTAATTGACTTGTACGCGGTAGAAAGTGCACGGCCACTTTGGGCACACGTACTCGAGGAAAAGCCGGCGTATCTGGCGGATGCGTATCTGAGACTCGGATCTTTTGCATTTACTTGCGTTGGCTGCCAGTTGACGTCGAGCTTCGGTTCACTGCGGCCAGCTATTTTGGGTCATTTCTTTAATTTGCTGTTACCATATGAGTGCTATTATAACTCCGCCTAACTTCTTAACTTCGTAAATTGTTTGTTTTATGAGTTTCTTCACTTTTGACACTGGCTCTTGGCCTTTTTTCCGGAATCCAGCCTTTGTTTTAAGCCAAAAAAATCACACAAAGCACTGTTAGCCGGCTGGGAAAAATGTGTTTCCCGAAATGCTGTGCTTCCTTTCGGTTTGTATTCTTGTATTCTTGCACTTGAACTTGCCTCGGGACTTTGGGTCAGGCCAATTATTACACACAAAACGCACACGCACACACACACTCACACACACACACGCAGGCACACACTGAGAATCGTTTTGGGCCCGCAAAGCACACAGACACACACTCGCGGAAGACGGAAGACGAGCAGAAGACCAAGTTAAGAGCGCGACAAGTTGCGCACGTCTGCGGAGTGGAGCTCACACAAAAGATCCACAAACCAGGTGAGCCAGGTGAAGCCTCTGCTGCTGCCTCAGTCGCGGCCACAGTCGCTGCCGCTGCCTCGGCCTGCGTCGACTGAGATTTGGCCACGCCGGCAGAGCCGAAGAACTTGGTAAGGCGAAATTGGTAAGTGCCGAGTGCGCCTTCTCACTCCCACTTGGTGGAATTACCAAGAGCATCGCCACCAACAAAACATGTGCGCATGCGTGCAGTCGACGCTGACTGCGCTACGCGCATAACGGTTTCCATTAAGGCCAAACAGCGAGAACGGCCGAAAAGCTAGGCGCTTTTTTCCGTTTCTGTTTCTGTTTCTTATTCAAATGAGCCTCTCTCTCTTCTCACCACCTCTCTCTTTTCGTTGTTGTTGTTGTTTTTCCTTATTTTTTTTTTTTGAGGCGGCTCACAGCTGATTGGCGGCAAAAGGTGTTTGGCGGGGGGAAGAGGGGGCTTTTGGGGAGTTTGGGGTTAACAGCGCTTTCACATTAAAACAGCAAGAAGCAGAGGACAACAGAGCGGCCAACACACACATAGTCACTTGTGTGTATGTGTTAGCCTGGCTTTTTCTTTTAATATTTTGTGGTGCAAATGAGTTTGTTTTTGCTGCCGCTTGCCATTCTTTGTCACCTGTGTGAGTGTGTTGGTTGCCGTTTGTTTGTGCCTTAATTTATGCACGTCGTCAGGTTAAGAAAGTCAATCTTTATTGTGCTGTTGGAGTTAACAGGCAAACCAGTTGGCTGATAAGAATTGCATGGTGAACTCTTTTCTTGTTCTTGAATATTTTAATGTTGGTATCGGTTACATCTGAGTAATAACTTTTCTTTTAAGACATAACACTTCCTGATCGTTAACTTCTGTTAAATATATATCACTGTTTATATTTACAAACTGCACTCTTAAGTGATTATTGGTTTGCACTGTGAATTATGCCAAGACCGCCGTAAACACTCGTTCACACATCATTAGGGATCGTGAAAAAGCCATTTAACTGCCAAAGAAACCCAATTATAAATCACACAACCGCGTCTCGCAACATCTTTGTTTAATGAAGCAAACAAAACACAACAAAACACAGAAAAGCAGAAGAAAACGCACAATTAGCTATTAGCTATCCACTGACTGACTGACTTGGCGATGACGCGTGTCTTTGGCCGTTCCTTGAACTCGAGAGACCTTGACACTGGGGCTGCTCCACAGCAACTGAGCAGCCGAGCACCTGGGGAGCGGATCCCCAGCGATCCCCGATGCTTTGGTCAATCGCCGACGAAGAAGTGGATGCCGATGTGGATGCTAAGAGCGGCAGAGGCATTCCCGGCCTGAGAGAGAGCGCAGCTGATAAGCTCCTTGGCCAACCACTTCGATTCGGCCTCTTCCCCCTGATTATGTTATTGAATTTTGATGGGCCCGCAATCCACACGATGCCTGGTCATGATATTGGCCACTGGTTATACTGGCCAGCGGAAGTTGGGCTCATTAGAAATTCAGATCATGCGCCGCATGTGGCACCGGCACCTGTTGCATGGACCCAGTTTTAGTTGCACTCAACGCAAAGAGTTTGGACCTTTTCGGCTTATCTCGGCTCTTGAAAGATATCTCTGTTTACTATTTATGTCTCTGGTGTGTTTCTGAATTTTTCTGGCTAATGTTTGCTGGCCCTGTTTTTTGTTTGCCCAACAAGATAAATACAGATTCCAATTCATTTCGAAATCATTTCCTTTATGAATCTTCTTGGCATAACTGAGATTCAGCTGAAAAGCATGCAATAATAATCTATTACTTTAGTCAAGACACCAACCAAACTGCTTGCATGCCAGTGATGTCAAAATGGCTTCTAAACACGCAGATCAGAACTTGCTTCTGAAAAGGTTCCAAACCTTTTATATTGATTGCTACCCTAAACTGAAAATTGTTTTTTCTCCTTCTATAAAAAAAATATTATATATTTGAAAATGTATTTTTCAGGCTTTTTGTTTAAATGTTCGAGTTCTTTTACCTCTCCAACAAAAACAAAAATAAAAAAAGTTATATACAGCGAAACCAAAAAATCTGTAAAAATTTTAATACTCTTTATTTGTATATTAACACATAATTAAAATAATAAACATAAATATAGGTGAAAGTGGATCTCAAATGTAGGAATCTTTCGTCGAGCAGTGTACAATAAATATCGAAAACCTTATTCTAATGCGTGGAATGCAATGGAGAACGAATGGAGGCGAAAGGATCGACCGAAGTGAGGTTGATTGAGTACAGGGATCCCTCGGAAGTTAAAACAAATGGAAGGTAAAATAAATACAAGGCTCAAAGACCTTGATCTTACACACTAGCAACCCCGAGTCGAAGAGGAATCACATGGCCTGGCTAACGGACGCACCGACTGCAGGACTCCTCGAGCGGCGACTGCAGTCTTCCGGTTAAAAATCGATGGTGCAGTGGCTCCTACGCGTTGTCGTTGGCCATGACCTTGTTAATCCAGGGCACGAAGCGCTGGATGTTTGTGTACACGCCGGGCAGGTGCTCCCTCCCACAGCCGATGCCCCAGGAAACGAGTCCGATCAGCGTTTTCCTGCCGTCCATCGTCAGCGTGAGCGGCCCGCCGCTGTCGCCCTGGCACGAATCCCGACCTCCGTCCTTGTAGCCGGCGCACAAAAAGACCTGGAAGAGATAGACGGGAATAAATATAATTCTAAAAAAAGTATACGTATATTATGTCCTAGAACACGGAAAAAATCGGATAAAGAGAATCGGAAAAGAGAATTTAAGACATTATTTTGATCCAATTGCTTTCAAATTTGTTATTATTATAAGTTGAATAGAAAATTTGATCTCGTTATGTCTTAACCAATTCAATCTGTGTTAATATTTATATTCAATTGTAATTTTTGATTAAGGAAAGCATTGTTTACAACTGTACTAGAAATATGCGCAAAGAAGTAGATGTTCATTATTTTAAAGCTTTTCAAGATTTTTGAATCATTTTAGGTAAGGTACATTTTGGAAAGGTAATGAAAAGGCTTTCAATATAACAAACTCAAAAAAACCTAGGAATCTTCCATACTTTAAATAAGTGTTTCTTAAAATCATTAAAATTTACTCCAGTTGTTCTTTGATATCACGTTTTTGCCATTCCATTAAAAAACTTACATCATGGATGGCCTCTCGGCGACCTGCTGCACGGAACCATCGCTGGCAGCGATCATTGGAGATCACCTCGACGTCCACCTCCTGCAAAACCGAAGGCACTGTACTCTGACCATGTCGGGTTCGTCCCCATCCAGCCACAGTGGCCATCTTGCCAGTCAGTTTCGTGGATGAAGGCGGCAGACAGACGGGAATGATGTGCTGCTTGTAGACCACATTTCTATCCAAACGGATTAGGGCCACGTCGTTCTTGAAATCAGCGGGATTGTAGTGGGGATGCACCTCCTTTCGCTCGATGCCGTACTCCTCGTGGTTGAGGCGCTCCTCCTGGCCACGAACATCCCATTCCCCCAAGCGGATCTTCATGTTCGAGTTGGTGGTGCTGAATTGGAAGAAAAGGTTTTATCAGAAGGGTTTTTATTTATTCAAGTGCTAATAAAATATTATTCAAAATGTGAGGTTTGAAGTCTAAAAAAAATTATTTGGTGTCACAGAAACTATAAAGCTTCTTTAAAATTACAAATAATGTTCAAATTTTGGGAAAGTATTTTAAAAGGTAAGGTTCAAGGATATTCTTAAATTTTTTATCTTTTAATTTTCAGATGTAATTGTAAAGGTTTTCTGTGATACCTCTGATACTTTCTATTCCTATATCAACCACTTACGTAGCCACACAATGAGCGGCAGTGACCACCCATCGATTGGAGATCAGGGCACCACCGCAGCTGAGTTTTCTGGTGAGGAAACCGCTCTTGATCAGCGCCACCTGCCAAGGATGGGAACCGAAACCCGTGGAATGGCCACCCACAATGCGATTGGATCGGGTGTAGACTTCTCCGCAGCCTGTGAACAAAGAAGTACAAATATTAATATAAAATTGAATAAAGAATTATATAGAACAACACCAGAGCAAGTAAGGTAAAGATCTACAGAATCTAAGAGAACAAGAGTGTGTTTGGTGACAGAGTAACTGAGTGATTGTGTGGTGCAGCTTAAAGGAAACCCAATTGCAGAGGTGCCAGAAAACAGAGAAAAGGAGAGAGAGTGTGTGAGATTGGTTGATTGATTGTACCCGGCACTGGACGATAGTTGGCATCGTGGTAGCCACCGCCTCCTCCACTCTGGTACTCATCCGCCGCCTCGCCGGCGTTCAAATCCAGGACATTGCCCACCGCAAAGGCCTGGGCATTCGGAAGCGGTTCATGTAGCGATGGCGGTGCCCCGGAAGAATCCAACGCAGGTGACTCTGCATCGAAGAAGCTGTCCAGGTGGTTGGTGATCCCGTTGACGGAGCCCAGGTGGCCACCGGTTTCGTGCTCCCAGCTATTCAAACTGGATGAGGAGGAGGAGGAGGAGGAGGGTGGTCTGCTGGAGCCTCCACTGGAGTTCGGCTTGTAGGGATTGGCACCGCTGTACAGAGTGGGTCGCTTGGTGCCGTAATAGCTGCTGGGGTAAGCCGGTCTGGCCGAGGATGAGGAGGAGGCCGTGGATGAGGTGGACGGGGCCGCTGACAGGCCGTTGCCACTTTGGTGGTGGTGGTGCAGGTGGTGGTGCTGCGGCTTGTTGGCGTTCGTCGACAAATCGGGGTAAATGTCATGCAAGTGTATTATGTCGCCTGTGTGTAAGAATCGTGATACGGGATGACAACTATGTGACCACCAGCTCCACAGGTCACCGAAACCAGTGGAGTTGGTGTCAGACTTTCCCCCAAAAAAACTGGCAAGTAATCATAATAAAAACTACTCCAAACTACTGCGATTATGTCAGCGAAGAGTGGTCAGTCGGGGCCACTAAGACAAAGACTGGGTGATTCGCACGTAATTCAAACCAATCCGAAAGACATTCTGTGTCATGACTTGATTAACACTTTCGAGTTTGGACGAGGAGCGCGGCTATGCCGTAACTTCGCTGATGTGATTTTTCCCACATTTGAAAGCAAACAAAATAATAAAACCCTCCGAAGTCGAAGAGCAGGCTGCTCTACTCGAAGCCCCAGTGAAACAAAGAAGAAAACCGAAAATTTCACTTTTAAATGCGAAAACGTTCACCTTCGTTTATTTCCGCAAGTGAGTTTTGCCCATTTTTCGGGTTGCCTCTGTGTTTTTCGGCTTTATCATTGTCGCCAGAGACGTCTGGGAAAACTTTACACATGAACTACCAAAGAAAGCACGCAGAACCCGCTTCTTTACGGTCTTCGAGGAAATGTTTAACTCGAAACTCGGAGGGGAAGAAACTCTCAAAATTAAGTTAAATTGCGGCAAAAGAAAAGGCTGCAGCCAAGATTGATGTGCCGCCAAAGAAGAGCTTGAAAAAGAAAGAGAGGCGATGGAAAACAAAATTTTCCACTAAGAATTATTCATAACATGTTGTAATGCTTTGTTATTGTTCAGGTTGCCTTTGCGTTTGCAACGTGAGCATTCGAAAAAGAAGGCAGACATCTAGAAAACTAAACAGAGCACAACAAAATAGCTGAAGAAGGAAAACAGCAACTCAAACTAAGTTTTGTTGGCCACACTTATGCGTGTGTGGCATAATATAAGTGGCTTTATCTATTCTCTTGGGTATTCTTCTACATGCAGCTATTGCCGAATTGGTAATTGCAGCCACTGCGATTACGATATCGCCAATGCACTTGATGGCAAGCCAATTGATCCATAAACTAGCGAAGCTGGCTTTTGGAATGTGAACGTATGAAGGAAACACATAAAATCGAAAACCAAAAGTAGTTACAAACGTTGCTAAGTAAGTTTCTGCCTAATAAAATGAGAATAAAAGAATATTTGTTTGTGCATAAATTTTTCTCAAATTTTTCTTAATTGTGTTTTAAATGGTTTTTCCCACAGCTGGATTCTTATCTTAAGACTTTCTCATACAAAAAGAACTGTCTCATTTTCCGGAAGATTACTTTGTTGGGTGATCTGACCAAAAGCAAAAAAAATTAAGAACAATGTCCAGTTGGCCTCTTTAAAAACTTCTCTAGGGTGATAGATGGAAAATAATTTTAAGTACTTCCGTTCTATTTAATTTAAAATAATTTCTATTAAACACACATTTTGTTTTGTGAAAATACAAAACATCCATGTCACTCTATTTACTTACAATAAATGTATCTTTAAGGTTTATACAAATATTCCCTTACACTTTTACAATTATAATATGTTTTTCCTCATAATTTTCTAACTTTTTTTGGGTCAAAAGAACAAAATAATATTTAGTACTTTCACTCCATTTAATATATCTTAACGGAAACATTAACTTCGCATTGGATGAGATAGTTTTAATTGTGAGAATACGAAAGGCCATAAAACAGTGTTTCTTTAAATTGAATTAACTCCAGACTTTTAGATTTTTATATAGAAGTTTTCCCAAGATTGGTCTAATTTAAACTCGTTTTCACGGCATCTTAAGAATTTCAAGAAATGCCTAAGTAACTTATGTATTTTTTTTTATTAGATTTGTATTTAGAACATGTTCCTTTTTAAAAAAAAATCAATTAAAATACTAATAGTACCAGAACGATACAATCAATTTCAACTGAAGGAGGCAATAATCTATAGCAAAACTAAACCAATATGTCTGTTTATATCTTTTACTCTACATATCAAGAGGAGAAACATTCCGACTGGATTAACCACTTAGCTGTGTTTGCCCAGACTGGGCCCAAAGGCTCTTTTGCTGTTTGCTTGTGTGCAGGGCAATTTGTTGTCATTTTCGAAATGCGAGCTAATTTATTGCTCTATTATACGAGACCGAGTTGCATAACTCGAAGCGCAGCAATTTGCTGTTAGAGGGAATGCAGCAATGCAGTGGGGAAAGCGGGCGGCGAAATGTCTTTCAGAACGAACTGTTTTTGTCGGGTTTTCGGGAACCATTTCGATGGTAGGCGAGGGGAATGGGGGTAAGGCGTTTGACTGACGGGGGGAGGGATGGATACTCACTCGTGTTGTTCACTGGGGCGGCATGTGGACTCTCCTCGGCGTCGAGATCTTTGTCCACGCAACACGACCAGATCATTCCGCCGGAGCAGAGATCCAATGGCTTGCCGCCGCCCAAGACACATGAGATGGACAGGCCGCACTCGAACTTGTGGCCACGAAAGCGGCACGACTGAGGGATCACTGTAAGAACAAGAGAGAGGGGTTGGAGGGGAACCAAATTATAAAGAGTTCGGGGGAGGGATTGGGTGATTGGGGGATTCTGAGTCAAGTCAAATTGGTCGAGCTAAGTACTTCGGGAAAGCATCTCCATCACGCTGTTCTCGCCGTAGTATCCGGTTCCACTTCTGCGGGAAAGAGCATCCAGGATGAGCATGTCGTGCTCCTGCTGGGCACTGGGGTATCCCAACCCATCTGCTCCCTCTATAATCGCCAAACAGGTGGGAATCAGGATGGCCAGCCGCAGCCAAGTATCCTTGGAGTGCCTGGGCAATGGCAACATGGCAAGCGAGCTGAAAGAAGGAGGCGTTGCACGCGGACTTTCACTTTCGATGGGGTAGTTGCACTTTCGCTTTCTGGCTTATGATTGATTTTATTATGCGCCAGCCGTCACTGCAAGTGGATCGCGGCGATCTGAGTAGTCCTGCCACTAGTGCACCAAGGATTTCACTTTTGTTTTCATTAAGGCGCTTTCTTGGGCGGTTCACGCATGCGCGGCTTCAACGCGCTTTGGATTCGGGCGAAAAAGAAAATTGAGATCTCCGCCTGGAATTATCTTTCTTTACGCATGCGCACACAGTTGATAGTTGGTAGTTGGTAGTCGGCAGTCGGCGAAAGGCGAGAGCGAACGGAAAAAGGCGACCGCGCGTCGGGAAAATCGGCTCAGAACTAAGCCAAGCTTTTGTGGCCGCCGAGCCAAGAGCCGAGCTGAGCGGTCCGAAGAGCCGTCGAGGAGCCGAAGACATTCCGCTTTTGGCCATTTCACTTGCAGAGCAACTTTGCCGAAACAGAGCAAGTCGGTGATGTTGCCAGTAAACCAGCAACATGTTGCCGAACCATCAATTTGCTCGACTTCAATTGGACTTTTGTTTTTGTTTTGCTTTGTTTTTTTTTTTTTGTGTGGCTCGTTGTTTTTTGGCCAAGGTTTCTGCTTACATAAAAGGCCAAAGCAAATAATCTATAATCTTTGGGAAAATGGCCGAATCACAGCGGTATTGCTGTTAACACTTTCGAATGCTGCCAGTGTGCAATTGAAGTTAATTGCAGTTGATTTTCCCGTCTGAGTATCGGTGTTTGGGGTTCGGTATTTCGTATTTGGTATCTGGAAACACTTTTGCTTTTCTCATACTCATACTGATACTCATACTCGTATTACATATATCCGCGGCGGAGCAGCTGCCATTGAACTTGTGCAGCCGCCACATAGTGGCATTTGATTTATCATATTTCGCCCGGCTGGCCGCCGTTTTAATAGTCATTCACAGCTGCCCAAAACGCGGGCTTTCTTCGTGGATCTACATCGCTGGTGTTTGCTGTTTGCTGTTTGGTGTTTAGTGTTGCTGTTTGGGCCTTTATGTTAATGTGTAATCACCTTGAGCGCGGGCTTAATTGGCTTTCGTGTCTTTCTCTTGGAAAGTCCAATTAAGCAAGATGAATCGGCTGCCCAAGAACGGAATGTTCAACTTTCGCCGGAGGCCCAAGTCCAATTTTCGGCGATGGTAACTCACTGTATTTCCCAATTGCCCGACCGATCGGGAATCGTGTTTCGAACTTGACATGGGGAGCAGCGAAGATCAAGGTTAAGCATGGCGTGTTAACTAATATGCAAATTGTGTAAGGCGAAACGAAAGACTTAGGCAACGAACTCGATTGCCTCAACTGCAGGGGAAGGGGAACTCCGGGTGTAATACTCACAGTCCAACTCATCGAAGAACTTGGCCTCCTTGGGCAGCTCCTTGTCGATGGCCTGCTTGAGCTCCTTCGGAATCACCTCGTTGTAAACCGAATTGTAATTGCTTTGGCCAGCGGCAGCAGCAACAGCAGCAACATTAGCAGCAACAGCAGCAGCAGCAGCAACTGTTGCAAGCAGCAACATCAGCAGCGGCTGCGGCGAGCGCATTTTGCAATACTTTCGTTGTTGTTTACACTTTTTTGTTGTTGTTTCGGTTTTTGTTGCCGCCGCTGTCACTGATTTCTGCAATTGTGTTTCACTTAATTCACGTAGCGGCGCGAGTTTTCGATTGAATAATCGCGCCTCGTTTGCATAGCAGTCCGAAATGGAGTGGTGCTCGCCCAGTAATCGGAATTAAGTTCACTCAATTCAATTTTCTCCACCCCGCACTCGGATCGGCTTCTTCGCGGATTGGGCAATAAGTCAGAGCGAATCTTTAATATTTTACACTCCGTTTTTTTAAGCGGCTTTCTGCGGTCTCGCGTCGCCCAAATGCAGCCGCAGTTCGCGAACAGTTTGCCGTCGCGTCGAAACACTTAATAAACAGTTGGCTGACAAATTCAAAATCAAAATGCCATCAACACCGCCGACCGACCGACTTGCGAGCGGTACGCAGCGCGATCCGAGCTGCGACTATTGAGTAATAGTCACCAAAGAGCGCAGCGGAGAGAAAAGCCAAGTCAATACAATATACAATACAATATAAGACGAGTCGTCGAGAGACTTGCGTTGAAAACGAAAGTGGCCAAGGCAACGAGTTTTGCCGCTCAACTGGCAATTGCATGTTGCCAGTTGCCAGTTGCCGCTGCTGTTGTCGTTGTCGTTGTCGTTGTCACCATGACTAATCTCCAATTTCTTTACCTCTCTACCTTCACCATTTCGAAGAGGAAGTCGCGTTTTCCCCCAAACACACAAATTGGTGCTTTAGCAAAACCAACAATTGCCGAACAAATTGCAGCCGGAAAATCCCACTCAGCAGAAAGGCGTTTTCTTTCATGCGTGACATTTCGGGACAGAGAAGCTTGCAACTGGAGATTAATGATTACTTACTGATAATTATTGACCATTCAATGACACACATTTTCAATTTCATTGCCACCGCCCACCGACAGATGTTGCTGCGGTGCAGCAATTCGAACAGCAGCAACAGCAACAGTAACAGCAATTGCAGCAACAGCAACAGCAACAGCAACAGCAATTGGGCAACGCAGGCTGGCTGGGCTTAATGTGCCTAATGTACAAATTACCGCCAGGCAGTTAGGGATTGTGCCATTTGTGGCACTCCACCAAATAGGCCAGAAACCAGTGACATAACCGAACAAGCGGCTCGTTTGTTTGGGCCACCGGGTTTTCACTTCGTTCAAGGTCGCTGTGCAACCCACTTCCCCCATCGCAAAATGGCAAGCAAAGGCGCAATTACAATTAGCTAATTGTATTGTTTATTAAATCTAATAAATATTGCGTCTCTGGCGGCGGATTGCACGTTTCCATTGCCTAATGCTACGGGCCGTAAACTAATGAGATGGGTTGCATTGCATTGCCAAAGGTTCGGAGGGGATTTTCAGGGTCCATGTTGCCGGGTCAAGGGCCTCCTGCACCTACAACTCGTTGCGCGTCACCACCTCCTGGATCCACCTCACAGTCTTCTGAACGTTGTGGTAGATGCCTGTAGGATATTCACTTTATAACTATTGGTTCATGATGCACTTTATTCACATCCCACCTGGCTGATGATCCACTCCGCAGCCAAATCCTGCACTGGTTATTCCCACGAGCACAAAGCGTCCGCGCTCCTTTATCACCAGCGGACCTCCTGAATCTCCTGGAAAATAATAATACAATTTTAGGTAAACACTAATTCAATTAAGGATAAGGTAATGGTTGACAACAAATCAAATTATCATGTATTTGTTAGACAGATTGCAGCCGCTTATTTCAAAAGAAAAAGAAAAGAAAACAAACTGGTCTTATTTTTTAACTAGTTTTTTTGTTCATTTTAATTTTATTCTTTATTTTTTAAATGACGCCAAATGATACGCATACGATAAAGCGAAATAGGGGTTTCAAATAAATTCCAAAAGTCTTACGAGTGGAATAATAATATTTACAATAAGAGTAGTAAAAATCCTGATAAAGTATATATTCTTAATGGCCTCAAAAGTGCTACCTTGAACCTGTTACATACTTTGTATACAATAAAGTATACGCTATTGCCCTACGAACAATAGTTATAAAAATAGTTTAAATAATGTTCTTCAATGGACTTTTAATTAAGATGGTAATACTTAAAGAACACACTAAATGGCTTAATTATTTTAATACTGTTGAAGAAATCGCAATTTTATTAGCATAAACTCTTTTATGTAACTTGCAACTTACTCTCATTATTTTAAAAAAATTATATCGCTAAGCCCAAAAGTATGCTGTGTCATCTTTTGTTATTTATTAAGATGACTTTAATCGTTATTCCTTTTAGTCTTAAACACGAATACGAAGTTTCGATTGTGTTAAATGTATGTTTCTAAAAAAGTAAAATTTTGTTTGCTTTATGTTCTGAATAATTATATTATTTATTATTTATATTACTTGTTATATATTATTTAAATGAATTATTTTGTCAAATAACTTGACTATCTAACCTATGACTTCCTTTCCAAAACGGTTTTATCAGCTGCACTCACCCAAACAGGCATCCATGTGGCCATCGGAGTGGCCGGCGCAGAACATCTCCGCCTTGATCTCCACGTTGATCTGCTTGCTCTCGTGCCAGCGAACGCAGTCCAAGGTGGCTAAAACGGGTATTGGCAATTCAGAGCACCCAATGGTATCGAAGCGATACTCACTTATGATGGGAACACTGGCCACCTGGAGCATGTTGGTGCCCGCGTGGCCCATGTGCGCCTCCGTCTTGCCCCAACCGGCGATGAGTCCCTTCCTGCCAATCAGGCGAATGGGGTACTGCGGCAGGCAGATGGGCAGGATGTGCTCCGTGAAGGCGGTGGGCTGGGCCAACTTGAGCAGGGCCAGGTCGTACCTATCCGGCTGGGTCATGCGGAAGTTGAAGCGCGGATGGATGATCTTCTGCAGCACGCTGTGCTTCTCCACGGGCAGCGGTTCGTGGATGTGCCCCAGATCCTGGGTGTCCAGTTCGCCCAGGTACACGGTGATGTCCGCCAGCTGCGCCTGCTGGATGCAGTGCGCCGCGGTGGCCACCATGTTCGCCGAGATCAGCACCCCGCCGCACTGGTACTCCGCGATGCGGATGTGCGCCTGCCACGGATACTCCGCGAACTGCGCCGGTCGACCGCCGATTATCCGCTTCTGCAGAGTGTTCTGCGCCGTCCGAGGTAACCCACATTCGGGCTGCAAGTTATTGAGGAATAATATTATACGGAAAATATACTGATTTAAGGTAACCATATATTTGAAAGCGTTAAATTTAATTAGTTACTGCTTATGCGAACGAACCACGAATTCATGAAATTATGTTTAAAGAGCGGTAAAACGTTTACGTTGAAATGATAAACAAAAAAGTTCTTTGTTATCCACCATTTAACTCAATTCTTCTGGCGTTAGATTGTTATCGAATATGTGAAGTGGCGTCAATGCACATTCATTTTATGGAAAAACGTCAAAGTATTCGTATGAGCACTTAAATCAAAACCTTCAACTATCTATCTATCTATTCATTCATAACTTTCCTTTGAACTAGACAGCCTGCGTATGCTGTGTAATATACTATATTATATTATAATTTAATTTACAATGTACTCCCTTTCATAATTTGTTAGGGAACTCGTCATTTGTTCCCATTTTTAGTTGTGTTGTCTCTTTATTTATTTCCGGAAACGTTTTGAAAGAATGCTTTGGCAAGCCTTTTCTCTATTTACTTATGTTTTAGAAGATGTACCTAATAGTAGCTGCTGCTAAAAGAATGCTCAAATTGCTGTACCCCCGTTCCTATTCTACCTCTAATTAGGAGAATCCCGCCTGTCAGTTGGTTGTCTGTCAAGTGGAATGGCTCAATTAGACCTCTCCAAGCAGGCGCTCTGGCCACGGCTCAATTAAGGCTGCTTACCCACCTTGAGGTTGAGGAGCTCGTTGTCGTCGCGCCTGCGCAGCATGATGCGCTTGGGCAGGCTGGTGAGTCCCAGCTTCAGCTTGCCGTAGTCCACGAGGTTCGCCAGCGGGGAGGTGGGCGGGTGGTGCTGCTGGTGGTGGTGCTGCGGCTCGGCGATGCAGCAGCTGAAGAGCCACTTGTTGCTGCCACAGCCCTTGGCGTGCTTGCCGCCTTGCAGCCAGCAGGAGAAGCTCAGCTTGCAGGGGAACACGCCGCTCTGGTGGACACACTCCGCGGGAACACCCAGCAGAGTGTTCAGGATATCTGTAGGGGATCGGGGTTATATCCTCTGCAATAATATCCAATTAAATACTCACTAGCCTGGCTGGAGCTCAGGTGGCAGAGGAGCAGGAGGAGCAGGCACAAACACAGCACCAGTTGCATCTTAAAAGTTATCTTATGAGTTCCCAATTCGCACTTCACTCCAGACTTTTAAGCACTCGATGACACTTTTGTTGGCAATGAAAGCATGACAATTTCCTATTCACTTTTAAGCTGGCTTCTGCCGTTTTCTTCTTGCGCTTCCTATTATTGCTGCTCCACTTTTACTAGAAGACGCCGCTTTTTATGGGCTTGTCTCAGTCTGGGTGACTCACAACCGAAGACCAAAGAGCTTCTCGAGTGAAAGAGATCGGTGTCCTTGATAGGCGAACGAGTTTCGGGGTCGCTTGCAAATGGGTCGGTTCCGATTGTGGCAAATGGACTTTTATATAACAATCATAATGGTACCTGTGCCAATTCGCTAAGTGACTAACTTGATGGCACAGTTTTCCGTCAGATTTCCTTTTCCCAGCAGCCACGCACCCGAGTCTCACACATTTTCCGATTTCGATTCTGAAAACTGTTCTTCGTTTTGAAAAATATGGAGTTTTATAAGCCACAACCGCACGCGCCGCTGGCCAAACGCAAACTAACTTCACGCCATTAACAAAGAGGCAGCAACAGGTTGATCTTGGTTCTTGTTTTTTGTTTTTGTTTTTGTATTTGTTGTTGTTGTTGTTGTTGTTGTTGTTGCTGCTGTCGCCATTTGATGTTGCTGCTGCTGCGTGGAGTTGCTGCCGCTTCAGTTGCTGCTGCCAGTGATCTTCTTCATCTCCGCTAATTATTACGAAATGCTGATGACGAGGCCAGAGGCGCAGGAAATGTTCTCCCCGTCTGTTATAATTATTTTATGCGACATAATTGCAACAACCGCTGGCATCTCTCCGCGGAATGGGAACGATTCTCTGGCGGCAATCGGAGTCTTTTTGGGTTAGGCCATCTAGACAAAGGAGAACCACTAACTGGAAATGGGGGCCACACGTCTATTTATGTAACTTTCTAATTTGTCGCCAGCTGGGAGGGAATGGGCATATTAAATAGGTTCTCGGGTGAGAAAAGTGAGACTGAAGACTTAAGACTTACGAAACAAAAGAGGAACACCATTGTTATGCCTTTCCAATCTTTGTTGGTTTTATTTAAATTGGTTCCCTGAAAATAAAAGCTGTTGCTTTTGACTAATTGACAGGCATTTATCACTTTCGCTTTATCAATAATAAAGATTTGTATATTTAATTAATAAAATGTGGTGTTAGAATACATAGTTTTTACCAGTTCTGATATGAAAGAAGTTTGGTAATAATATAAATTGGTGAGTAGGCCATGATCTCCAGCTTTCCTGTCACCTTTCAGCAGGTTTCCTGGTTCTCAGTTCATCGTTGTTTGTTCGGTCGCCAACACATAAACAGCAACACAACCAATCCCCACGACGGATCCCAAAGTCCTCAGAATCCGGCAAAAAGTACGTTGAGTTGGCTCCCAACAAACGGTGACAATGGCCCCCAATGATCCATCGCATCCTGGCAGCAAGTCCTCCGCCGTGGCGGTGGTCACCGCCAACCACTCCATCTCGTATGTGCAGTGCCAGAACCTCAAGTACAACGTCCTCATCCTCGGCTGGCTGGGCGTGATCATCTCCACCGTCATCCTGGGCAGCTCCGTGCTCACCATTCACCTGCAGCAGGACATCGAGCTGCTCCTCAAGCAGTGGCCCTTCAACTTGGTCCCGGTCGCAGATCAGCAGCTACTGATCAATTGTGAGTACTTCCTGGTTCTCTTTTCAAAATATCCTGCCTTGTGTATTTAGGTACCCAAAAGTACACTGCCTTGTTTTTTCAAGTAGTGCGTGAGTGTAAGCTCTTTACAAAGTATTTATACAAAGGGCATTAAAACAATCTCAAGTTGCACCACTTAGATTCTTAAATGAAAGTTGTATGGTGGTTTCTTAAATAAAACACAAAATATTTTATAATAATCCCAACATTTTTGGTTTAGTGTTGACCATCTTTAGTACCATTGCATACGGACTGTCGTTGATCAACTTGGGAGTCAGTTTGCTGTTGCTGATAGGTATCGCCCGGGTAAGTAAAATATAAAGAATGTTACATATCAAATATAAATTCCGTTTTTGAAACATCATTAAAATAAGGAGTTAAGAAGGAAATAGTATAACTTCATTTTGTAGATATCTTTTCCTTCAGAGTGTGGAAATGTAAAATATTACGTAGTATGTTTGGCACTTAGATTTTTAAATCCCCTCTTTAAGGTTTATTTATTTTTGCATTAAAGTTTTAGAGTTTTGTTTATCAAGAGCTTGCTTAGTTGATAACAAAAGAAATGTATCACATTTTGTGAAGAACATTCGAGGAATTTGGTTATTTGCTTGAACAAATTTTCTTTTATGAAAATTGCATAATTTTACTGATCTTCCACAGGACTCAAGTTGCCTAATGTATCCCTGGTTAATCTATAATGGCGTTATATTCGGCTTTGGTCTTTATTTGGGGGTTTTCTATGCGACGGCAGGTCTGTTCATTGACCTGTCGAGCTTTCTAATGTGTCTTCTAGTATTCACCCTTGTGCTGGGTGAGTAGCATTCTGATACCATTCAGTTCGCTCCTAATATGTATTCCTCTCAAGTTATTTTTTACAAGATCTACCACGAGGTCTTCACCCTATTCCGCGTGATGGAGCAGCAGTCGAAGGAGGGGATGGGCGGGATGAGTGGGGGATTCTACTACCAGGATGCCGAGCACGGATGGACCTCGGCCGGGGCTCCCTATCAGCAGTTCTACCTGCCCCGCATGCCAATCCAAAAGTAACATCCACTGTAGCAACATCTCGACTTCAACATCAACAGCAACGAAAAGAGAAAAAACATCTAAATTGCTTTTGGACTTCGTTTGTACGATTAATAAATGGTTCACGGGTGCGAATTCATATCAACATCTGTATAATTTATTTACACACGAAATGAAGTTCATAAATAGTTTTAAAATTACATAACAGCGCATATGACTAAGTAAATTAAACCGTAATTATCAGTTATAATTAATTTAAAGGTTTTAGGGCGCTTGCAAATATACAAAATAATATTATATATCGCACACGTGTGTATCTTGCAGATACACACAGCCTTATCCTAACTGCTAAATTGTACTGCGCTAATTTGTTCGTTAAATTATTATTTATATATATTCTCTTGTGTAACCATAAATTAGGGCGCCTTGGAGCCGGAGCGGAGTCAGGAGCAGAATGAAGTGAGTTATGTACAAAACAATCTGTGGCCCACTTAGCAGGCAGGTGCGAATGCGAATCCGAATCCGAATGCGATTGCGATTGCGATTGTGATTGCGATGAGAATAAGTTAGATGTTCATCGTGAGTCCGACGACGTAGGATACCCAGTCCACCGTTTTGCTGACACTGTGATAGATTCCTGGCTGGCCACGGGATGCGCAGGAGTAGCCAGCGGATACCACACCTATAGAAAGCCAACAGAGATTGGTTATAAAGTATATGTGGATAAAACTCTTATTTGAAACCCACCTATCAAGTACCATCGCCCGTTCTTGTCGTGCATCAGGGGTCCTCCCGAATCACCTTGGCACGAGTCCTTGCCCCCGTTCCTGTATCCTGCGCACAGCATCTCCTGGTAGATGACCACGTTGATCCCGTTCTGCCGGTGCCAGCGTTCGCAGATCCGGTTCTCGATCACCGGAACGTCCACCGCCTGGAGGGTCTTCGGTCGCAATCGAGAGCCCGGATTGAGCGCTCCCCATCCGGCGGCCCAGCCGAACTTGCCCAGGAAATCTTCGTTCTTCTCCGGCAGGCAAATGGGAGCTAAAAATAATATGGTGGAAGGACGTCAGTACTTTGAAGTTTATAAATAACTTTTGAGCGCTTCTCTTATTTACTCCTTTAATAAAATTACGTCAATTAATAACGTCAATTCAATTATCACGCTTTATTTTTCCATCTTCAAGTATAAGCCTTGAAACAAAGGTGACTTTAAATAATTGGTTGTCAAATTGTTTTACCTTGAGCGCAAATTTGCATACACTTAAAACTATTTTTCCACAAGTCAAAATTAAAAATAAACAAATCATTGAATATTGTAAATATCAATTTAGTAAAGAAATTAAGGAACCTGTTTGAATCTGGAGCGCATATAATACAAATTTGACTATAATTTATATTTATTTAAAAAAAAAAATATTTTTTGGCTTAACATATTAAGCTGTTAGTCTAGATTTATCAACATGATGTTATACTAAGTTAATTTTAATTTATAGAGATTTAATTTCATAGAGACCGTGCATCTCAGGTTACACACTCTGACTTCTGAGCTCAGGCTATGAAAAGGTTAAAAACGGATTCCTTAAATCCTTAATCCTTAATCCTTGAAATCGTGTACTAAGGACTCCATTAAGTTTATTATTTATAAAACATATTCTTGCTCCCCAATAACTCTTGGCAAACTCACCTATATGTGGCATGAAGTGCACGGTGCGTTCCAGCGTCAGAACGGAGATGTCGAATCGATCCGCCTGCGGAGTGAACTTGAAGTACGGATGCACGTCGATCCGGCGGACTCCGAATGTGTAGGCAGGCAGGGGCTCCACGGCCGAGTTGATCACGTAGTCGCCCAGGGTGACGTGCACCTGGCGAGGAGTAGCCCTCGCCACACAATGTCCAGCCGTGACCACGTGTCTCCTCGAGATCAACGAACCTCCACATCTAGAGGGTTAAGATGAAGAGCCCATAAGTTTATGAAGGAGTAGGTAACCCCTTGAGACGCTCACCTGGAGGAACCGATGCGAATGTAGGCCTGCCAGGGAAAGGATCCGAAGCCGGCATCATCGCCACCCACGATCCTCCGCTGGGCGGTCTGTTTGGCCAGCGAAATGCCGCAGCCTGAAAGCCAAGAAGAAGGTGAGGTGAAATCAGGTGGAACCGCGTACCAGGAGCTCTTAGGCTAAAGGGATTCTCGGGATTGGATTAGTGAAGCGTTTACCAACGGGGCGACCACCAAAAAACAAGCAATTAGGCAAACAAGCGGGCATTTGCGAGGAGCAGCTGCCGGGTTCAAATCAGCTTTCTAGAGTCGCGAGTCGAGTCGTCTTGATGAGATTCGGGGTCTTGGTTTTCGTTTCGGGTTTATCGGGGTCTGGACATGGAGCGTAATGCCGTTAAGCTATGTGTAATATATGGCTTAATTATCATTAGCGTGCTGTGGTAATTAACATGCTCATGCCGGGCAATTAAACTTATATATTTTGTTTTATTTTTGTTTTGTTTCTCCCAAGTTGCTGGTTGCTGCTTGCTGGTTGCGACTCCTTCGCGGGTGGCTTTTCGGTTTTAGTGGCGTGTGTTATAGGCTTAGATATATACGTGTATGTGCCTCTGAAACATCCAATAAAGCCAAATAGTTGCGCGGATTGCGGCTTAATTAGGCACTGAAAACTACCCAAGAGTGTAACAATAACAAATAACAAATAACAAATGCGAATTACGAGTGCATAACTACATAACAAAACGAACTACAAAACATACGTAAATTGTTAGAGGTGGCATGCAAATTATTTCTCAACATTTCGTTGCTATTTGGGTTTGGTTTGGGTTTAGTGTGCACGTGCTTGGAGTTGTATTGGTTTTGTTTTGGATTTAGGTTTTGTTTTTGTTTTTGATTGGATTGCATTCGAGCTGGATGGCTGGATGGTGAGCACACTCACTGGGTTCGTTGTTGACCGGTCCGAAGTTCTTTTGCGGCAGATCGGTCAGGTCTACGGCATTGCCGACGAAGTCCGAGCTGCCCAGGTTGGCCGACTTGGCCGTGCGGTGGCAACAGCCGCGCAGCAGTCCGTCGCAGGTGCCCTGAATGAGGCCGCCGGAGAGCCAGCAGCCCAGGAAGAACTCGCACGTGCCGCCCCGGTGCTGGCACTCCTCGTCCGTTGTGATGTCGACTGTCGAAGGGGGATATACATCGGAGTTGCAATCGGTATGCTATGCTTTGCTATGGTATGCTATGGTATGCTATGTTCTAGTGTTTCTTGCTGTGTGGGGTTCTTTCGGGGATTGGTTGTGTGCTCTCTTTACGCTCTTTACTGGTTTTGGTTTTGGGGTTACGTGGCGTGGGTTTCGCCCAGTGCAAGCAGTTTCCCAGCAGCTAACTGGCTGCAGCCGAAGCTTAAGCCAAAGCCCCTTCTTCCTAAGCCCTACCGAATGCGGGGGAGCAGGGCGGGATCGAGGACGAGGTGGAGCGGATGGACGGGCACTTACCTTTCTCCTTGAACGTGCTCGCCGACTGCGGACTGCTGGTCGCCTCCGAGGCGCTGTCCAGCTCCTGCAGGCTGTAGTCGTTACGCACGTCCTGCACGGCGGCCAGCTCGTTGATGCCGAAGTTCTGGTCCCTAAAAGGTTGAGATTGGATAGAAGTTTAGTTAGAAATAAAAAGCCAATATATTCAAGCATAAGCAGTTCATAAAGGGTAGGGTACGATTTAGATTCTTTACCAGAAGTAACTAAAAAATGAAGACCACGACAGTAATGTCAGAATGTAGTACCAAATATAAAACTAATTTCAAAGCATTTTAACTGAACCTTTCCTTGAACTAATTTATTCAGTTTCAACAAATCATTAAGTTGTATGCACAACCATTAAGAGCTGATATTTACAAATATTATTTGTATGTATTTATATATTATAAATGAATTTGCATTGTGTCACCATCTCCACAATGTTATTAATGTTATTAATAATCGTTAAATTTAGTAGTAGTGAACATCTATTTAATTAATTGCTTTACCATTTTAAAATAATATGTTCGGCAATGAAAAGTGTAAATTCTTTTTCATGAAATTCAGAATTTGTAAAAGGCAAACATACTCTTTTATCAATTAATTACAATGTTCCTCAATGAGTTTTCCCTTTCTAACCAAATAAATGTTCCTGAAACTATAGATACCCTTCCTAAGTTTTCTTACCCTTCCCCAAACCACTCACCTGAAAGCAATGTTGTCGCTGAAGTAGACTCCGTTGCCGGAGGGTCCGCTGCTGCCGGCGGGGCCGCTGGGTCCGGTGGTGCCCACGTTGTCGTTGGTGGGGAAGACCACCCGCGGACTCCTCGACGACTTGAAGGGGTAGTAGCGGCTCTTCCGCGACCCCTGGTACTCGCTGGGTCCCACGTACTCCTGGAAGTTCTTCTGCGGCCCAAACTGGCGAACTGGAGCAGGCGGTCCTGTCCTGAACTCGGTGTCGCCGAAGTAGAAGCCCCTTTGTGGTCGCTGCTGCGGCAAGGCGGTGATCGGTCCATTGATGTCCCCGAACTTGGTCACATCATCGCGGTAGAGCTTGAGGCCATGTGGCTTGGAGTTGCTGACCAGGCCGGGAAACTCAAAGCTGGAGGAGGCGGCATCCGAGTCGAAGTAGAGCTGGCGGGTGTGGCGCGTCTCGTGCTGCTCATATTGCGTGGGCGGAGGAGCAGGTGCCCCATCCTCGCTGAAGGGCTGCGGTTCGTAGCCGCTGGTCTCCCCGAAGATGGGGTTATCCTCCCGATAGGCCTGCGGATGGAAGGGACTGGCGGGCTTCAAACTGTAGCTGGGGAACTGGAAGCCCACTCGCCGACTGGTGTTCTCCGGCTCGGCGTACTCCAGCTTGTCCGTGGAACTGGCGGCGGCCAGGAGATCACTTCTCTCAGTTCTCTCCGGTCCGAGTTCCAGTTCCAGGGGTTGCTGCTCCGGACTTCCCTGGGTGGCCAGTTCGGCTCCGAATTCGTGGGCCACCGCAGCCACTCCATCGGCCGGAGGTCCCAATGCGGATAGAGTGGCATTCCTGCTGGGTCGCAGTTGCAGGAGACTGGCGCCACCTCCATTCTCCCCCTCCCCCTGGAGTGGGATGTACATGTAGTTCCTCCGACGACCTTGGCGGGTCACATTCTCCGGCATCGTGGGCACCAGCTGCTTGGGCACCGTGATCAACTCGCTCTGCGGCAACTCGACCGAAGGAGCGGGAATGATCTCCACCGCCGCCGAATCGGAGCGACGCTGGGCCACCGGAGCTCCCATTTGGCGAGCGGTGCGGTAGGAGCCGAAGGACTGCACCACCGTGCCATCGCTGCGCTGCCGCACATCCTTGAAGCTGATGTCGTCCTGCCGACTAAACCTCTGGTAGGGAGCGTACAGATTCCGGGCGGTGGATGGCGTGGTGGCCAAGGATGACGTTGCAGCCGCCGTCTGCCAGGGCAGCAGTTGATGACCCGTTAGGAGGGCGGCCGTGGTCACCGCCGTGGTGGGCGTGGCCACCGCCAGGGAGGAGGAGCAGCAGCAGTAGGCAACGAGACTAACGGCCAACGCCAGTCGGCTCCATCTCGTCCAGGCGAGATTGCATGTGCTCCATGTGCTCCGTGTGCTAATGCTAATGCTTTTGCCGCCGGCCAGTAACATCTTACATCGAGCAGGATGAGTGGCTGTGTGTGGTTGTCTAGCTGCTTGGTTGTTCGGTTGTTTGGTTGTTTGGTTGTGTGGTTGTTTGGTTGTGTGGTTGCCTGGTGGTAATGACACTGGCTCCAATTAAGGTGCAGCCGCACAACTTCCTGCTTAGCGCCGCCTGAACTTGAACGCCCAAGTCCGTTTCGCTTTTCTCAGCTTTACGTTTTTATATTTTGTTAGTTTTTCTTCTATTTTTTTTTTTTTCGTACGCTCCGCTGGCTGCTGGAAAAATTGGATACCGAATGGCGTCAGCTGCGTGCCGCGTTCATTGATCCCTCGTCGCCACTGGTTTTTCGGCCTGCTCTCGGTATCTCGGTATCTCGGTATCGCGGTATCGGTGTGCTGTATTGGCTCTTGGGGATTTTCCGATTTTTCCGGCGCACTGCGGCGGCTCTGTTACAATTCAGTGGGATACGCGGCAATCTGTGTGCCTGCCGCCGATCGCTCAGCTCGTGTGGCAAGTTTCGTTGCCAGTTTCGACGGCTGAATTGGTCCGATTGGTGCTGCAATGGTGGTGCGATGGTGGGTTGATGGGATGGCGGGTCCAGCGGTTATTGGTCTGCGCCGAGCGGTGCTCCAATGGCAATTATGGCAATTGCTGTTGACGCTTTAACAGCGGCGTTTCAGGCGGTTTCTTCGATATGTTGCATGCTGCACCGCATCGCGACGACGTCCACGAGGAGTATCTTTCTCGATGTGGCCACGAATCACTTCCTTAATTGCCTGCAACGGATAAACAGAAATTAGCGAACGACCGGTTTTTGTGGTTCGGCATTTTCGATGGATAGAGTGGGTGTGTGTTTGCGGATTGAAAGACTCATAAATGCCCAAATGCACTGGCATAATCTACGCTTTGCGCATTAAATTCCCATTAATCCCGTGGCAAATTAATTTTAAATCATCAATTTGCGCCGGGAACCCGTTGTGGCAGAGCAGAGCTGCACTTGCCGCTTGCCACTTGCTAGTTGCCACTGCCACACGCGTTTCCTCGGTCACAAGCCACAGCTGAGTTTTTGGAAACCTGTCGCCGCGATAAAAGCATCTGGGAAAACTGGAAAAACCATCGTCGGCAGCTGGCAGCGCTCACTGTTTTTATTTAATTTCCCTTTTTTACTTTTTACTTTTTACTTTTTACTTTTCTACTTTTTGCGCACTTTTTGTTTAATTTTTTGCTTTTTTCACCTGCCTTGTTTTTACATTTTACGCTTAACGATAGAAGGAAATGAATGAGCGTAATGAAAAGCGCAATAAAAGCACATACGAGGTGTAGTTCACTACCCTGTGGAATGGAGGCCTGAAAGAGGCATATTAGTTGTGTGAATTCAGTCTTACGGAACAACTTAATTAGGGATGGATTAATTAGCCATCGCTCCTAATCGTTCAATTAGGATTGCCCATTAATGATTGAGATTAGCTTCACGTGGGTAAATTGTGACTTTAAAGTGCCAGAAAAATACTATTTATTTTATTTTTATACCCTTGCAGAGCAAAGGGTATTATAATTTTGGCCAGAAGTTTGCAACGCAGTGAAGGAGACACCTCAGACCCCATAAAGTATATATATTCTTGATCAGCATCACGAGTAGAATCGGAATACGTCTGTACGTCTGTCCGTCTGTCCGTCTGTCCGTCTGTCCGTCTGTCCGTCTGTCCGTTTCTGCCTAAACTAGTCTCTCAGTTTTAAAGCTATCTCGCTGAAACTTTCCCAAAATGTGTGTAGTTATTGCACGCAGTATATAAGTCGGAACGGGCCGGATCGGCCGACTATATCGGATAGCTCCCATACGAGAGAATGAAGTAAAAAATTCTTACTCCGTTGTTTTTGATCAGATCGACTTGAATTCTTCAAGATGGCGTTTTCTAACTGTTATTGAATTTCGGATTAAATTTGATCAAAATCGAATAACTCTATCATATAGCTGCCATAGGAGAGATCGAAAATTATATATAGAATTAATGGAAATAAATTGATAACATCGTTGTTTTTTATCCCACGAGCATGATTTTTTGAATATAAAGTTTTTTAACAACGTTTATATTGAGAAAAAAGTTTCATAAAAATCGGTCATCTATATCTTTTAGCTGCCATAGGAAAGATCGAAAAATCTATATAGAAATAATGGAAATAAAATTATAACATCGTTGTTTTTCATCAGACAAGTATGATTTTTGGAATATAGAGTTTTCTTACGACTCTTGAATTAGGAATTAAATTTGATCGAAATCGGACAACTATATCGTATAGCTCCCATATGATCTATAGTCAAAAATATGGAAAATGAATAGAAAAATCGTCTTAGCTTCGATGTTGTCTAGCCTTTATGAGTTTTGTTCGACATATTTGATGACTGCAAGGGTATATAAGCTTCGGCTTGCTGAAGCTAGCTTCCTTTCTTGTTAAATATATATTTAATAAACATGCACGATCGGATTTTATGATGTGAGGATTAGAAACACAAAATCATTTGCACAGGATGGGTAATAAGTGAATTTAAGCTTATTACAAATATATTACAAATATATTCTGAATTTGTTTTAAAGAAAAGAATTTTCTCAATTTCATAATTTTAATGAACATAATTATTATGCCACATGCCAATCAGCTAAAACTTTAAATTATTCTAGTCTATTTAGGGTCCCAAACTAATGCAATCAAAATTGCATTAAAGTTTAAGTTTTTAATTTATTCTGATTTATTGTCAAATATTGATGGGGTTGTGTTCTGGTTAATTTAATTAATCTGAGTACGCTCAGTACCCAGAACTAATTGCTGGCATTGGCTTTACTGCCTGGTTAGCCGAGCTTCATTGGATTGGCTTGAAAGTAAGAGTTCGCCAGCTTTTTCGCTCTGCTCGAAGTCAAAGTCGGCGTCTTTTCACTTTCATTTCGAGTTCAAGCACCACGAGGAGAGCAGCTGCTCGCTCTGTGGATTGTTTTTGCTCGTTTGCTTGTTTGCCGCTCTGGCGAGCGCTTCCTTTAACTTGGCCAAACTTGACACTTTGAACTTGATTTGCGGTGTGCCGGCCAGCGATTTGCCAATGCACCAGGAAGCGGGAAGCCAGGAAAGCCAGAGAAGCCTGGAAAGAAAGGAAACCTGGGAAGCTGGCGTTCCGAAAACGTGACTTTGAGCATCGACAGCTTTGCATAATGGTTAACACATTTGGCGGACACTTTGTGTAGCTGTGGTTATGAAATATATTTTTGGCGACTCAACTGGTTTTCCAGCTGGTGTTTTTTGTTTTCGGTTTTCGGCTTTTTCCCTGCTGACGCACCGTGATGCAACCACGATGCAAAACACAATTTACATTATCAGCCAGTGCAGGCTAAGTCCGGGCTAATCCAAGCCGCTCCCTGGATCATGTTACGTAAGCCTGCACTCCACTGACAGCTGCCCCCTCGTCATCATCGTTATTATAGTAATCATTATTGGACAGCAACAATGCGCATGCGTGCCGCAAGTTGCCATATGGAAACGGCCTTGAGTGAAGGACGCCGGAAACTGGCTTTCTGCGGCTCTTTCTCTTTCTCTTTCTCCTACTCTTTCTCTTTCTTTTTCTCCGGCTCTTACGCACAACAACTCACAATCGCTTTGTTGCTCTGCCCGCTTTCGGTTTATTTGTTTTAATTAACAATACTTTATGGGGATTTTCTGTAAGGGTTTTCGATGCGATGCAGATCTCCCCCTCCCCGGATTCCCATTGAGATCCCCCGCCCGCAACCTCATTACTTTTGTTTTAGTTTTGCGCTGGCAGTGAAAGTTTTTTTCTGCCGCAAACAATGCGTCGTACATTTCGTTTCGTTTCCATTTCGTTGTAAACAAGCGATTTTGTTGCTTTTCTGCTCGTAATTGAGATAAATGCATTTTAAATGCGCCACCGCAGCAGCAGCTGCAGCAGCAACTGCAACAGCAACTGCAACAGCAATCAGCAACTGGTTGCAACAGTTGCGTATGCAGATGCATTTGGGGATCCGATTGTGCGTCACAAATCCCGAAGACTTTTCTTCCATCTGGCCACGCATAATTCACGACAAATGAATTCTCCCCGCCGCCGACGAACACAATGGCTAATGCGCCGCATGACAATGGCAATAGCTACGAGCAACATCTGCAACTGCAACAATGGCAGCAACACAAGAGCTCAGCCAAAAGTTGTCATTTTAGTTGTCCGCCGTTTGTCGCCGGCTGATGAGTTGCGCATAAAATAAATGCAAGACAAGCAAGGAAATTTTATGCATTTTGTTGAATTGGTGGAAAATGCCTAAATTATGGAGGAGGGAGAGCACCGCTTGGCTAATAAATTAGGAAAACCCAAAGAAGACGGCTGAAAATGCAGCTTTCATGCGAGAGATCCAAGTTAGCGGCTCCTTAAAAAACAAGCTGTGAAAACCAACTGCTAACAATGCCTTTGAACAAATTGTAAACAAAGCTTTATGGCTGTTACCTTACAAGAAATTATTACGCATAATTAATGACTACTTAAAAGAGAAGTCTTATAAATAAAGATGTTTCGAATAGATGAGTGAACATTTGTTTTAGAATTTCTTCTTCTTTTGGCACAGATTTTGAAGCAATTAATTGTATCTAATTTTTTAGGTTTTCAGACAGTCCAATTATTAAAACAGTTAACTAAATTATTTATTTATGCACCTTGAAAATATATTCCACTCATTATTCAACTCAAATGTATTCTTGTACATTAAAATAATGCATTTCCAGTAAATAGTTTGACTCCCTTCCTAAATTAATTTTTTCTGATTTGAGTGCTTTCTTAAAAAAATGTTAGATAAAAGCTTGCATTTTTACCTCCATTATCTATTTCATTACTTAAATATTAAATATTTTAGTTAAATGTTGCATCAATTATTTACTGTGTTTTCATTGAAAGATCTCAAAGATAATTGTCTTGTTTTTCCAGCTTTTCCTAACCACTTACATTTATTTAAGCAGGCAATCAAAAGACAATCTCGGCAACCACAAAATTGATGGCCCCATCTGACCGGCGAAGCAGCAATCCACCAAACCACCGATCCACCGCTCCCACACCCACTTTCGGTGGTTGTCGTCTTGGCGAAGTGGAATTAAAATAGATTTGCCCAATTATTTTGAATTGCTACCATTTGCAATTACGAATTGTTTGCACAAGCCGAAAGGTTAAACCCATTTGACTTTCCCACCGCCAGCACCACCAAAACCACCACCCAACGCTCAAGTGGGTCAACAGCTGCGCTCGTCTTGGCCCGGCCAAAAGCGAAATAAAGTGGAAATCGGTGTCATGCCATTGGCACATTTTGTCCAGCCAAAAACAGACGAAATCTACCATACATTTTAGAGCCACGAGAGTTGGGTAAGGTAAGTGCCGTTGTAAACCGCAGCCAAGAGCGTTTCAACACGCCCAATCAATCGATGGCTTAAGCCAACTGATGACACCTGTGACGTCACACACACACACACACGCACACTAACACACATCTAGAGTAGGAGGTGTTAATTAATATTCAATACGCGCGGCTGCTGCGCAATTGTTACGAATGTGTTAAGTCAACACCGGCAGCAAACGGAGTGTTAAGAAGTGGCCAAGAGTGGAACATGGCAACAGCAACAATGAAAACTGATAAGTGTGTGTGTGTGTGTGTAGCATTGCATGCAAATCGCACAGGTTATAGCGATGGCGATGATTATGCAATTAGCGCCACTCACACAGCGGCAGGAACACACGGCGTATGGGTAATATTAGCCGATAGATTGTGTGAGCCTTAGTCCGTTCGATTAGATAAGAGCAATAAACTCCTGAAGAATCTCGTGCTAATGACTCGTGGCGTGCTGTAAGTCAATACCTTTTTGGGGGAAAATACCCCCCTCTCACCTTGAACCAAAACAAAAGACTTAGGCAACGAACTTGCACAGATAAGAGCACCAAAGGGGAAAACCCAAAATCCAGCTGAGTTCAAAGGTGCAGCAAGAGGTTTCAAACCCGGAAACAGTAAGGGAAATTCCCCTGAAAACGAAAAACCAATGTCTTAGGGCACCCACCCACACCAAAAACAAAATATAAGGTGAAGCTCAGTCAAATAGGAATAATTAGCCGACCCAAAGCCAGTAGCTACTGCGGTCAACTCCCCCTCAACAAAAAAAGAAGCGGAGCGACCAATTAACAACAACAAGCCGATAAGCAAACAACCCGAATGCATAATCAATTGGACTCGAAGCGAAGAAAGAAAAATGATGAAAACAAAAATTGAGAAATCATTTGCATAAAGCCAACCAAAACAACCATTTTCGAGCATTTCGATTGGCTTATGTAAGCACAGCGCAGCACAGCACCGCAATGCACAAAGAAGGTAAAAGAGAGGAAAATATTTACATAAAGCATCAAAAAGAAAATAAAAGCAAGGCGAATGGAGCCAACAAATCCATGGCCACGGTCACAATTTGGCGGAACTTGTTTTCCAACGCTCGCCTCGTATTTTTCGGATTTTATTGCTCGATGAAAAAGGGTCCCAAATCCCGAACCGGATTTAAGGCCACAACACACAACAGCTGCAGTAGCAGCAGCTCCTAAAATTAAGTAATTTGTGTCGGGGCTGCTGGAAAGAAAGTTCTCAGCCGCAACCAGTAAAGTATATACATATGTGTATATAAATATGGCACCTAAAGGTATACTCGTATATATCGTATATATAGCATGCTCCAGAGAGCAGGGCGAGCAATACGAGTTTCTCCGCTTATGCAATAAGCCAGCCCTAAATTGAAAAAGCAAAATAAAATAAAACCACTTCAGGAAAACGGAAAAAAAGTAAAGAGATGTTACCAAAAACCGAAAAGAAAAAAAAAAAAAACAAAATAAAAAGACGGCGTCGGCGTCTTGCCGATAATGAAGTTCATGTCATACTTATACACACAGCTACTCGCACGAAAGTATATTGTGTAGTCGACACAAGACATCGACGGAGCCATAAAAACGTTGCCAAATAATTTGTGGCTCAAGCTGCAGTTAACCAAATTGAGGCTAAGACGCCGCCGCGATGCGCCTCTCTTTCCCACTTCCCACTTGCCACTTTGTGGCTTTTGGCTTTGACTCATTTCACATTTCGACTGCCCTTCTTTTACGCACTTTTGTGTGTGGCTCAGTATTTATGTTTTCCGGTTTGTTGTTTCTTTTCTTTTCTTTCCTTTTTGCATTTCGTCGCTGGCTCTTATTTGTTTTATTGGCGACTTGACATGGTTTTTTGTTTCAGCCCTTTCGGGCCAACCTATTTATTATTCCGAGTCTGTGCCAGTTATATAATAATTATCAAGCTGTTAATGTGGAAACACATTGAATAATCGACCGAATTTTGGCATTGTTTTATTGCTTTGACATACTATTGGGTCACCAGCTGATGGCTTTTGAAGTTCACTGGCTAATTGGTTGTATAATTTATAACAACTTATATTTAAAGCCACTACTGAGTTAAGTGAAGATTGAAGATGGTGAGAATTCACCTTTAAAATCCTTAATTTTCAAACATTTTCTATTTGACTTCTATTCGACTGATTATAAAATAAGGAGAGAATTTATTTATTAAAAATATTTTTAAATGGAATTAACTAGAGACTAATGTTTATTTGTCATTTGTTTACCCATATTCATCTTGACGATGGTAAAAAATATTTGCGAAAGCGTTGGTGCTAACTGACTTTTAATAACTCAAATATAATTTCTGGTTTTTGGAATCCAGCTGTGCCCCATTTAAGATGTGTCTGCACGAACGGCAATTAATGGCAGTGGTCCGCCGGATTCTACCAAACCCGAGCAAGTGATATATATACCAATCGCAGGTGTTATACCCAAACCACAACCACTCCCCTAACGGGACACCCTGATGGATCGGCTGCGGTGGATTATGTGTCCAGGCATTTTGCAAGCACTTGAGTGTAAATACTTTCCACATTTTGCAAGAGACCACGACCACGCCATGAGGTTTGCGTTTTATGCATTTCGCAGAGTGGGCACATATATATGGTAAGATTTATTAGATAATGACGCTTTATTTTTGCACAATAACTGAGGAGTTTCTTTTTTGCGGTTCGTGAGCCGTGCGAATGTTGCAACGTTCAAATGATTTAATCGCCGGCAGAGTAAGGAATCGATTAAGACTCATTTACATACCGAATTAAACCGAGTTAACTACCTAATTTAGTTATCTTACCTTGGGCGCTTTTTGGAGTTAGTCTCCCGAGAATTAATCCAATTTTGTGTGTTGATTTAGGGGCACAGTGGCAGTACTGGACGAAACGAGAGAAAGAAATTGTATTAGGGTCCCGATTACAAATTGCTTGCAATTTATGTGGCTGTTTTCTTTGCACTTTTCTTTATTGTTTTGCCGTGTTTTGTTTCGTTTGGTTTGGTTTGGCCGGAGCGAGAGTAATAATAAAAACAGAAATGCCTTTATTTTGCTTTTTGCTGCTGGCGGCTGATCGGATCAGCAAACAAGCTGAAATATTGTTCAAAGTCGCTCGCAACAACAGCGGCGATTGCGACTCCAATTGCAAAATCAAATCACTTTCACTGTCAGCCGGAGATTGTTGGGCGAGAGGGGGAGGAGGTGCCGGGGGGCTTGGCGGGGGGTTGCCTCAAATTGCAGGCGACTGCAGCCAAATCCAATCCGTAGCACTCACTCACTGCTTCTCTCTCTCTTTCGAATTTCAAGCTATCATTGGGTGCCACTTTAATTGCAGTTTCTGGCCATATTTCGCCTCGAGTCCTGGGCTTTATCTTTATCTTAATCCTGCACTCACACAGTGGCACTTACAGCGATCGCGATCACGAGACTATATACTATAGTAGTATAGTGTTCAACGCGAGCCGAGGTTCCACGAACTATTTTTTGGCGAGGCGAAGTGAAGTTAAGCGAAGCGCGAACACGACCTTCTTGAGCGGAGTCTCAAAGAAGTCTGAACGGTCTGCGCAGGCGCAAAAGCTGAGCGAAGCTGAGCGCGAGCTTTTCGACCGGCTGCGCAGTCGCAGCGACGCCGCTGCTCTTCCTACGAAGCAGCGCCAAAGCGGTACTCGGAAAATCAGCTGTCCGCCATCCCGCCGCCGCTCCCCCTTCCCCTCTCCCCTCACCCTGCGTCGATTAGGCAACAATAAATGCACAGACAAGCGTAAAAGATATATACGAAGGGGTTGGGCGAGCGGGGGCCAATCGAGCGGGGAGCGGGGAGAGAGGAAAGGGGAGGGGGGAGGGGGGAGCTGGAGCACTGTAACAGCCACCGCATTGTACAAATAATACAAATTATTGCTTAATGCCGGCAGACGAACGTACACCGAAACTAAAGTTATGAAAATTAATATTAGGTGACCTTAAATCTATGAAGACTGTTCGAACATATTTAAACTTTGCAATAGAGTACATAATATTAAAAAAAAAAACAAAAACAAAATATTAAAAGCTGCGTTTCAGTTTGTAACTCATAAAGTTAAAATGCAATGAGTTAGTTTTAACTCTCTACTACTCAATTGGACTTATCGTTTTTTGGATAATACTTTTTATATACCGAGTGCCTCTTGGGTTAAATACAATGCACAAAATTAAAATATTTTTGAAAGATAGATTGTTTAATAAATGTGTAATACATTTCTATATCCTCTTTTGTAATAACACATTACACAAAGTAATATATTTTCAAGCACTTTTTATTGTCAACTTCTTTTCAATTTCTTTCATCAGCTCTTTCTTTTTGGAGCTATTTTAAATGCGATTTTAAATTGCAAGGAACTTTGATTTCTATCGATTTACACAAATGATACAATTGACCCTGATTAACTATCATTTCTTTCGGTGTAATCATACCCTCGTCTGCCAGCCATCGACTCTCCCCTAGTCACCTTTTCGTAAGCTGCAATTATGATATGAAGTCGTAAAGCATCATTGGCCGCCATGGCCAATAGTAAGCACCATCGTTTTATTTCAGTTTTTGTTGCCGGCCAAACATGACAGCCGCCAATTAAACATTTTCAGTTCATATTTTCCCAATGCCTTTGGCCAGATAACCAGAAAACAGAAAACTGAAAACAGAAAAACAGAACCCGCAATTCACGAAAGCGTCGCAACATTTAATGCCTTTTGACAGACTGCGACAGGCTGTGACTCGGCTGTGACAGCTAATTGCAGTTGATTTGATTGAAATGTACATAAAGCAGCGTGTGCGCCTTGTCCAACTGACACCGACTTACTTCCAATAAAGAGCAGATCAAATTTGGGGTTAACCGTAACGCAAGGGGGTAGGCGAAGGCCTTGGTTTACTGGAAAGATTGGGTTAGAATAGTAGAAATATCGCTGAAATGTAAAAAGGAAAAGGAAATGAAACTCTTATGTTAAAACTCATATGTTCAATTTTATTGAGTAAAAATATATTAAATTGCGTAGGTAATCTGGTAAACCAGAGAAACTGAATGAGTGTATAAGCTATTCCTAACTATTAATGAATCTTTACTGCTAATCCAATTCCAATAACCCAGACCTTCTCCAGCTGCCCACAATTACCCGACCTGAGTTCAATAGCAAACTTGTGACAACTTATTTAAGACCCGAGCGTATCGCTATCCACAATGGCTCATCTGTTATCTGTTTGGACCTCTCGAACGTTCAAGTCTTACAGTGAATACTTAACAATTCAACGTCAAGGCTAGAAATGGGAAGCCTTGATCTTAAAACGGGGTGGTACGGGTTTTACCCGGCACCGAAAAACATCGGCGGATGGCATTTGATGACTTCTGTGTCGCCCATGGTGGCGGAATGGCCTTTGGAAAACCGCGAGGCGGTCAACACAACATCCGCTGTTGCTTTCGGATGATTCATCCGGCATCAGCTTTTTACTATGTGGATTTCTTCTATTTACTTTTGATGGCTGCCCCTTGCTATTTGGCGAAGCTAAAAGTCCGTTTTGCTCTCGATTCGCACACGAATTGAAAGTGAAAGGAGCAGCGGCAGCATTTCTTCATCTGTATCTGCAGTTGCTTTTAGCTTCATGAGTCTGAAGCACAGAAAAAAATAAGATTGCGCAGTACAACATCAAAATCAATAAACGTAAATTCGATCATTAAAAATTTACTACGATGTGTAAAAAAAAAAAATAATTTTATGAAAGGAAGTACTCAAGAGCTCAATGGAAATGCATATCAATGCATTTTAATATATGTATATCTAAGTCTGTTTTCTTTCATGTTTTCAAAAAGGTTGAACAATCTTGGGGATTTAAATTAAATGTGTTACTTCAGATACACATTTAATGTATAATAATATGTTTTTTAATGGCAGATTCCAAGCGTTAATAAAAATGTTTAGGAAGTATTTTAAAGCCATGTGAGTACTTAAAGTGAAAATATAAATTTAAAACTAAACAAAACTAAATAATTTTATATTTTATACCATTTAATAACAATTAATTTTGAAATAAATATTTGTAGCTTTGCAATGAAATAGCAAATGTGAAATATTACAAATGCCAATAAAGTTTGCTGTGTGAATTTGCTGCGAGGCATCGGCATCGGCATCGGCAATGGCATTGGGATTGGGATTGGGCTGAAGTTGGGGCCTGGGATTGGGACTTGGATTTGTTTTTGGATTGGTGCGGGTGCTGCTGCCCCGCGTGAACGCCTCAACTTCAGCTTTAGCTTCAGCTATAGCTTGAACTCCAAATCCAACGGCAGCTGGTGGCTGGCGGATGCTTGCGACAGTTGGAAAGTGTTTGCCGGCTTGCCTTTTCCATTCGCGCTTTAATTTTTTGCGGCCAGGGCAAATATTTGCATACACTCCGTCACCTCCGCAGTTGCGGCTGCTGCTTGTGGCGAGAAAAAAGGCAACCGCAAATTCGAGTAGCAGTTGCTCTTAATTTCGTGTGGCACAATTTCCAAGGGGCAGCTGCTGCTCTCGAATTTCTGGCCTGTCCGCAATTATGAATATTCATTAATCGATGACAGGCATTTGGTTCGGAGTTTGCTGTTTGGCGCTTGGAATTTGCCGTTGCGATTTCTCTACCCACAGTGCCTGGCAAAAATCAGCGGCAACTGAGGCATCGCAAAAAAAAACAACAGAAAACAGAAAACAGGCAACGGCGACGGCAACGAGGAAGTCGGAGCGCTTTTCCACACACCTCTGGAGAAAAAGGCAAACGAAAATCGATAATTGAAAAGAAATATTTGCAGGCAAGATGCAAAATGCAAGGCGGCGGCATTAGCATACATTTGCCCCAACAGGGTGTCGACGGGGCGTACCCGCGAGGTGCGAGGTGCGAGCACACCCTGTGTGCCACATACAGGAAAATATCCGCAAACGGGTATCCACATCTCGCCGTATGCCATCATCACTTTCACCCAGAGGTGATATAATGGACGCAGCCCAGCGGTGCCCGACTACGTCACCAGTGCCACAGATGCACAGAGGCACACAGTACCTCTTCCTGAGACATTAACTGAGATACGGCCACTAATCTGCGGCTCTTCCTTCAACTCCCAATCGTCGAACGTCGTTAATGTCAAATTGAAAGAGCTGTTGTGCGGAAAACAAATTTTTACTGCAGCCAACGGTTGCACGGGTAACAAAGTCATTTGATTGCCATCGAGCCACTCGAGCTTTAAAACTGTTAAATCAATCCACGCGGAGTTTTGTTGGTTAAAGATCAACTTAAACGGGCTTACCAATTTACATAACTAATTAGGCAAGACATTACTTTTTTTCTTAAAATAGGAAATACAAATATGATTTAAAGATGATCAAAACATTTTGCATTACGAAATGGTAAATGTACGGGTATAAAAGCTTTGTCCAATCAATATTTTTCATTGACAACTAAGTACTTAGTATGTACTTTGATTAATCAATTTATTTGCAGGAATATTTTTTAAAGGGACTAATTTAATCAAAAGCATTTAAAAAAGGCTTAGTAAAGTAAAGAAAATTGGCATAAATAACCAAATTAAATTCTTTTTATATACTAGTTTTTTTTTTTTCGTTTGTTTTTTGGTTTTCCCAAACCACGTGATCAAGTTTAGCACCTCCAAACTGATACCATATCATCCCGTTCCCAAGAACAATTGAGCCCTGGCTGATCTAATTTGTCTTTTGTTTATGCGAATTTAGCACTAGAACTCGATCGTTGCTAACGATTATCAGTAGCACCTTCTAATTCGATTAGCAGGGCGTGATAAATTGCCAATATTTAGTTAGCCAATTAGCAGATGGCGGTTCAGTTGAGACAAATAATAAATATAAGAACCGCCGAGCAACCGAATCGAATTGAATGCAGCTAAGAGGGAGAAGACCAGGGACGCGTGGCTAGGATGCTAAAAACTTTCCATGCCCGTCTCGATCTGTCGAAAACAGATCCGATCCGTCAATCTTATATACACACACTCGTGTGTGAACCCCAGTGTCAGGCAGCCATAAAGTCAATGGTTGTAGGGTCTGTGCCACGAGCCAAACTTGATCGCGAAATTCGCGGCAATTAGTGGGCTGCGGTGTAAAAAGCCAGAAAGGAAATTAATTCAACATAGAAATTATCGAATGTGGGATACTCTTTACCATAAAAACTAGGGACACAACCATTAATCTTTATAAACTTACTTATATTCTAACCCCGAAAAATTGTGCTATTATTTATGCCCTTTTTTTGGGAAAGTCAAAGTTGAGAGATTGAAATACCAGTAAATTGATATCCACCAAACGCTCCCTAATACCATCAAGTGATAAACCATACAAAATATATAACATATAAAAAAC